CACAGATGCTGAGTTCTTTAGTACAGCAGCCTTATCTTGTCCAGAAGGCACTGTGTCAGTCTGGTCCTCCCTACATTCTGGTTCTTATAATCATCCTGCCCCCTTTTAGGAATGGTACCTTAGCCTGTGGGGGAGAAGCTATGATACAAATATCCCATTTGTGGGCGAGCACACCGCAGACACTATTCTCTGAATTTCAGCCAGTTTTAAGTTTCTGCATTAGCTGATTTGTCCACTTGCACAAACCTCTCAGGTGAGATCTGAGTCTGTAGTTATAGAGACATGAATTTTCAAGTCATAAAGAAGGAATTAGAAGTTATATTAATGACAATTTGCTCATAACAATTTCAGACATAAACATCATGACATGACTTATTTATATACATATTCATGTTTTTACAACTAAATTATTTGACCAGCATCATTAATATTTCCAAAGAAGTAAGTATTTGCTAAAACAGAAGCAAGAAAGAGCAATTTCATGGTTCAAATTCGTCATCTCTCTTAAGCATATGTTACTGAAAAGGCAAACTCCTGTGACAGTGACAGTCAATATAGCCGGTGCATCCTTCCTAATCTGTTTTTTAGAACTCAAAGCAGACACTTCATAAGTAGTATTTATGTAATCACATCACCTATTAACTTTCAGGGGACCCCACTTCTTTACCACTACTTCTCCTTGTCATTATTTTTAAACAAAATATTCTTTACTTTGGTAAAACCCCAAGTTTGACATTGTTCATTTGATACAGTTCTTTAAAATTTTAAGTAACAAAGTTTAGAGTGTGTTTACATAGGGCACTATTCCTGTTTTTTGGAGTATGAGCTGTACTTTTTTCATGAAAAAATTTCCATCTTGGGTACATTCTTGTTAACATGTTTGCCCCATATAGGGAAGGGATGAAGAGGCTTCCCTATAGTGTGTGCAGTGTGTCTGCTTTATCAAGAAAAAGGACTTGGCTCAGAAAATGTTGTGATCTCTCTATAACATCTTTAGGCAGGTATCTTCAGACAGCTGCTCTCTACAGCCCTCTCTTCCCTAAATGTCAGTGCTCACCACACTCTGCGAGATCTTTTCTTCCAGGATTTCCTTCCTCTCTGTTTCCTGTGGTCTGATGAGTCTTCAACTTTTAAAAGTACACAGCATATGGTTGTAGTTCTTTGCTAACAATCTAGAATTTACTGTTTTTCTGTGGAGTGACCAGGACCAAGTTTCTAGTGGCTCTGCATACTGTATCAGTAATATGTTTATGTCTTAAATGGATGTTTTTGAATACTGGCAGGGTTCTCTGACTGCAATAACAAGGAAATCACAGCCTGACTGTATAAGAATGCAAAGGCAGGGTTGGTCTGAGACTTAAAGGGAGTTCAAAGACGCTTGTATAACCATAGCAGAGGAAGACATAGTGAACCAGAAAGAGATATAGAATTGGTTGCTGATGGCCTCAGCTGGTTCTAGAGGCAGGAATCTGTTAAGCAGACTCTGTTCAAGTGCATGAACTTTCCTACCTAAGTGACCATTAACAAGTATTCCTTATTGATGCCTTTGGCCCTGACTATAACTGAGATTTCCAGAATATTAAATCATCTTGTCTTTCTCAGTCCATGTTCAATCACTCAATCTTACCCAATGTGACAACTCAGTAAATGTCCCCTGTGCTGGTTGGTCCTTTGTGAACTTGACATTAGCTACAGTTGTCAGTTGAGAAAATAACTTGTCATATTGGCCTGTAGAAAATCTGTTGGGCAATTTCTTTATGTTTTCATTGTCTTTATTGAGCTGTACATTTTTCTCTGCTTCCCTCCCTTTATCCTCTCTCCTGGGACCCCCCCCCAATGCTTTCAATTTACTCAGGAGACTTTGTCTTTCCTTCCAATTTAGATCCATATATGTCTCTCTTAGGGTCCTTTTGTTGTCTAGGTTCTCTGGGGCTGTGGATTGTAGGGAGGCTGGTTTTTCTTTATTGTATGTCTAAAAGCCACTTATAAGTGACTACATATTATATTTGTCTTTATAAGTCTGGATTACCTCACTCAATGTGTTTTTTTCCTAGTTCTATCCTTTTGCTAGGAAATTTCAAGATGTCATTATTTTTTACCACTGAGTAGTACTCCATTGTGTAAATGTACCTCTTTTTCTTTATTCATTCTTAGCTTGAGGGGCATCTAGGTTATTTCAAGGTTCTGGATTATGAATAATACTACTATGAACATAGTTGAGCACATGTCCTTGTGGTATGGCTGAGATTCCTTTGGGTATTTACCTAAAAGTGGTATTGCTGGGTCTTGGGGTACCTTGTTTTCTAATTTTCTGAGAAATTACCATACTGATTTCCAAGGTAACTGTACACATTTTCACTCCCACCAGCAATGGAGGAGTGTTCCACTTGCCCCTCATCCTTTCAGCATAAGCTGTCATCAGTGTTTTTGATATTGGCTGTTCTGACAGGTGTAAGGTGGAATCTCAGAGTTGTTTTGATTTGTAGTTCTCTAATGGCAAAAGATGTTGAGCATTTCCTTTGGTGTCTTTCAGCCATTTGAAATTCATCTGTTGAGAGTTTCTTGTTTAGGTCTGTACTCAATTTTTTTATTGGATTATTTGTTCTTTTCATGTCAAGTTTTTGAGTTCTTTCTATATTATGAAGATCAGTCCTCTGTCTGATGTGCAGTTGGTGAAGATTTGACTGCAGCATTTTCTTTATTAATAGTTGATGTGGGAATAAATAGGCCATTGGTGGTGGTGTTATCCTCGGTCAGGTGGCCCTGAGTTATGTAAGAAAGCTGGTTGAGCAAACCATGGAAAGCAAGCCAGTTATATAAGTAACCAATGTTCTGGCACATACTCTGCTTCAGTTCCTATCTCAAGGTTCATGCTTTGAGTTACTGTTTTGGCTTCCTTGATGCTACATTGTAACCTCTAAATCACCCCAACATGCTTTTGATTTGAACTAGGATATCCTCTTGCTGACTTTTCTTTATAATTCTGCCAGTGTTTTGTTTTTCTTTGCCTTTGTGGCAAGCTTTCCAAAGGAAATTTGAATTGATGAATAAGTTATAGGGTAGATATATTGAACCGATTTAAAATGTCAAATTCTATATAAAACGTCATACATTTATAGCTGTACATAAAGAAAACCTTCAGTGGATAAGAACAAAAGATGACTATGATAAAGAGAGGTAAGGTATGAGGTTGATATGGATGGAATTCAGTGCTCACCCAGACAGAGAAACTTTATGATCAGTCATCACAAGTGTAAGCACAGATCCTATGTAAAGTCAGAACACTGTCAACAACACAGTCAACATGGAGTACAAAAATATGTGCCGACTACTCAAGGCAAGCACTGAGTATTTTGTCTTGGCCTGGGCTTAGTATATTAATGGAGCCATCTTGCCTAAGTGTTATCACAGCCTTAATCATGAAGATTAAATTTTGAATTTGTACAACACATAGTGTTTTGAAAATCTAGAATCTGAGAAAAATGTATAAGTGGCCACATGCAAATGCCTTTTGGGGAGAGGGGTGATATCTTAAGGGATATTGCCTGAAAATTTTTCAAAATTGAAGATCAGTCTTCATAGTCAGAAAGTTTGAACCTTGTCCCTAGTCCCTGTTTTTAATTTATTATCTGCAAATATGCCTAGGCCTAAAGTTTAAGAGGGGACAGATGAAAATTCCTTAGGTAAAAAGGGTCCAGACAGAGAAAATGTGAAGTTCTTGTATAAAAAGCACTTTGGATACTGCATAAAGAGCTGATATCTTCATCACATCATAAGGGTTCAGAGGAGAGGTCAGGAGTCTGTGTTCAGGATGTAAAATAAATAAATAAGTTTAATTAATAATAAAAGTAACAGATGCTCCTTTGAACAGAGTAGAAGTTAAATACATCTCTTAAATAAATCAAGAGGCTAAATATTATGTGTTCCCTAACAGACAAGCAGAGTAAGTTGAGGTTTAAGTGTAGAAATATGCATTGAATCCACTGGCTTAAATTATTTTTGTGGTAGGGGTTAGAAGCAATTTGTCAATGAATTACCTCCACTTAATCTTTTTCTTTAGAAATTTGTTGTCTTTATGAGAATGCATATATTTCTTAAAAATAAAACAACTGAAAATATTTTTTTAAAAAGAGTTTCAGAGTCATCTTTCTAAGTACAGAACCATGAAACCAGCACTGAGTTTGTCCCTGACTAACACGAGCGCCTTGAGAGTAATCATCTCCACCTGCTTTCTCTGGTGCTCACTGAAATTTGTCTGTTGCCACCTAAGAAGGAGATGAAGCAGTTCCCTCTGCTTGTTGATACATGTGTAATCATAAAATTCCATTCATTGATATTCCTGTGTTTTATTTCACCTCTTTGATATTCCTTCTCAAAGAGTAAATTCTCTGAACCAGAATTATTCTGTTTCTTTTCTAATAATGTAGTCTCCTCTTAGGAAATTATAATATTCTAGCTTTTCCCAAAGGGTAGGAAAAAATATTTGTAATTAATAAAGTATAAATGAACTAAAATAATTGTTTTATTTTAGCCTATATTTTAATGTGGTCTGTGAGTTCACTTGATTAGTGTTCCACTTGTGTAAGTCAAATGAAGTTGTTTTCCCATCACATTTCTATAGAAAAAGATGCTGCAGGTGTTAATTAATTTTTATTTTGTGCCTGCATGGCAAACATGTGGATGTCAGACACTAACTTGTGCTGTTCTTTCTCTACTTCCACAAAGTATGCCCGGGGAATCAAATTCAATTAGTCAGGCTTGGTTAAACACTTTTACCAAGGATCCATCTCACCAGTCCTAGTTAAATTTGTATTTATTAAGAACTTCATGCATGACTGGAATGTGTTTAGATCAAATTCATACTCATTCTCACACTCTCTCCCCTCCAAATCCTCTTATACTGCCATCACCCCTTCCCCCATTTTCATGTACTCTTTCAATGTTTTAAGTAATGTGTTATTAAAGTTGAATTGATTTTCTGTCATTCCTTGTATTAATAGATTGTGAGTGTTGGAAAACATGTCAAAGGCTACCATTATATCATCGCAAATTTGGTAAGAAATCTTGTTTTTCTACATTTATACTACGAATTGAAGTATTCAGAATTGTGTCTTAAAATAATGCTCTAATCAATGGTTAGACTATTCACTGTACTTCAAGCTGTTATTACAATAATCACTATATTTTAATAATCTAAATGATTCGAAATAATAATCATGTTTTAATTCAGTATGCACCTGATGCAGATTTTATTGGATCTGCCAGGGAAACATTTAAAAGTAACTATAATGTTGGCTTTACCATGATATCACTTGTCAAATTAAATACTGGCTTTTTCACTGTCTAAATGATAAACGCTACTTTACAGATGCATATATTTTTCAATTTTCATAAATACAAGCTATAATGACTAATTACACAAATAGTTTGAATGGAAATAATATGTTTTTAAACTGTACCAGTCTTTCAACTCACATAGAGATGGATAACAAACAACATGGAATGATCTGATTGCATGCGCTAGACATGTCTTTGTATAGTTTCAAACAAGGCTTTCTGAGTACTTCTAATTAACCCACCAGTTTGGGAAAATCGGCTATGGAAGATCGCCGCTTTCTTTTTATTACAGGGAAGTTTCATCTTTGTCTTAGTTAGGGTCTTATTGCTGTGAAGTAACACTATGACAACTCTTGGAAAGGAGATGAAACTGGCTTACAATTCAGAGGTTTAGTCAATTATCATCATGGCAAGAAGTATGACAGCATACAGACAGACATAGTGCCTGAGAGATAACTGAGAGTTATATATCTGGGTCTCAAGCAGCAGGAAGTGACAGTGACACACTGGCCAGGCTTCAAATTCAGAGACCTAAAAACCTATCCACTATTAACACATTTCCTCCAACAAGGCGTATGGAGGCCATTTGTATTCAAACTACCACAATCTTAGACCTTGATTCCCAATGTGGCTTATCCTAGGGAAGACAATGATACTTTCATGTTTTTTCTATCATCTCCCATCACATATTTCTTTGATGAGAGCCTTATTCTTGAAGGAAGAAGGAAACTAGTAAAGGGTAGAGACTAAGTCCTGATACTTTTCTACATGTTGAGTGTGCCATTGCATGTTCAGAGAGAGACATCCAGTTTAGTGACCTGGATATCAACACAGAGTTGACACAATATAATGCAGCAGTGCATTATGAAAATTATCATATTGTATTACTTAACTAAAATAAAATGTTGTGATAAAAGGATTGTTATAGCAATATCACAAAATATGCTTCCTCTTTTTATTTTATTAGCCCCCAATTTATGTGTCTCATCTTTCTGTAAGAGTACAAATATTTATGCAAATATATTTTGTCTTTAATCAATGTAACATAAAGCCTATGGTCAGGTGCATCTCTCTTTTTATTGAAATTATATGATAAGATTGTAATTAATTACTGCAAATGGGCAGTTTTGACATCTATTCTTTCTAAACAATGAATTCAGAGAGGAAAATCAATATGTTATAAACTATTATAGAAATGAGTGGTTTACACCTCCCAATGGATCTCAGAGCCTGCCTCAAACAGCTTTAGCAGGTGGTAGAGTATTTACACTAAAGTTTCAACATATGAAATAGAAAACTGTCTCTTTGAAACAGAAGCATCATACACACTAAAAATAGCTAGCTTTTATCATGATTAGAGCAGTGACATGTACCCAGCTGTTATAATATGCAACATTAATATGGATTCTCTTGGCATTCATTCATTCATATAGGATAACTAGCTTTAGTTCTTTCAGCTACCCCTCAACCATCTCTTATGAAGTATACATACATGATTCCCAAATGTAAAATTTGTTCAGAATCCAAATAAAATTTTGTATTAAATTACAAGTTAATGTTAAATACTAATTTTACTGAAATTAGAGATGATATAGGGAACTGGAGATGTAGTTCAGTTAGGAGAGAGATTGCCTAGAATGAACACAGCCCTGGGTTCTATCTTGAGCACTGCATAAATCAATGTGGTGGTGCTGCAGGCCTGTAATTCTAGAATTCAGGGATATAATCAACAGGATCAGAAGTTCAAGGCTACTCTAGGCTACACAGCAAGGTGGAGATGAACATACACTAAAATAGGAACAGGATAAGGATGTGTTAGCATACTACTTTTATTATATTATAATATTATAACATGGGACTTATCAAGAGTAGTTTGCTAAAAAGGAGGAGGGGGGAAGGGTGGGAGGAGGAGAAGGGAAATGGGAGGCTGGGAGGAGGCGGAAAATTTTTTTTTCCTTTTCTCAATAAAAAAAAATCATTCTTGGAAAAAAAAGAAAAAAAGAAATAAAAGTTATCCAAAATGAAAAAAGAGGGTTTGCTATAGAAATATCATAAAGAATTTCTTAAAATAAATATGGGCTAAAATATGAGTTCAGCGAGTATATAGTCCACAAGGTCAATAAATAAACATCTATTGTATTTATAATATGATAATAATCTTTCTGAAATAATTTTTTTAAATAATTATAGTTATTATAGTTTATAATTAATGAGAGACTACTACTTCACCTGTCATTATAGCTGCCTACCCTTATCACCAGGTGGCTACATATATTCCAGATTCATTTTAGCAAATATTTTGTTACAATTGCAAAATCAAGGTCATTTTTTTCAAAGCGATCTCCTTTTGGTAACTGCACTGAAGTAGTCCTGACATGACTTAGTGTGTAAAACACAGAAGAAATACTGATCTGAATCAGAGAAAACATAAAGGATGGGCTTTTACTTGCATTGATGATGTAATGAGCTTTTGAATAGACATACTTCATCACTGAGATATTTCCCGGGGAGAGGATCTGCAAACTAGAGATCAAAATCAAACGAGAAGTCAGTTGGGAGATTTCATTGTTCATTACCCAGTGTAACGTGCAGGCAAGCATAGGTGCCATCTGCACAAGAGGACGAGCTCTCCTGGCTCACCCCTTCCCTCGGGAACGTTATTTGTTTTGATAGTTAACTGGGGAATAAGTGACTTCATTATAGTGTGACCTTACGTACCCTTCAGTTCCATGATTCTCTGTACATTCCAACAAAAAGTAAATGATCAAAGTAACTGTTGCCAAGGAAACCAGTTCATGGTCTAGATCCTATCAATTTTCTATATAAAATTATAAGAACGTAAATGAAAGGGGAAATATTGCCTGTACTCAGACAAATATAGCCAAAATTAACAAAGCGATAGATCATTCATTCAAACCATAATCGACAGGGATCTGTTACAATCAGGCACAATAATTGTTTTTCCTTTACCTTCAGTGTTCTGACAGACTGTGTCTGATGGTAGCTCTGAGGACTGTCGTTTGCCTGTGTCTTGTAGCTGTGGCTAATGCTACACAGAATGCTTAGCAGACCTTCCATTTCAGCTACAACCGAAATAAAAAATGCCATCAATTGGTAGCTAGTGCAGGAGCTGAATTACTGTGGCCTTTAGAAAACAGTGAAATGATTTGCCTGCCTGTGGCTTTGCCCTACAATCTGGCAAAAGCACACAAATGCTCTACTGACAGTTTAGTAGCTAGAAATTGATGGGCAGTGTTCGTCCCACTCCTAAAACATAAATTTGCTTTGTGTTGTCTACTTTGTTTCTCAATGAACTGAGAATGTTACTGATGAGCTGTCATGTTGGCTGGCACATAATAGGCCTAATATCAATGTCTGTTAAATGAACAAATTAATAATCACTCACAATTATTGAATGCATACTGGGAGTATTATCCTGCTGTTTTGACATGGGGGTAACCTAAAGTCAGAATCTAAAGTGAGAATCAAAGCCTGGGTTTCTTTTGTTCTTTTCCTCTTCTGGAAATATTATAGCAATTAAAAAATCAATATAACAATATGAAAGGGCACAAAATAGGGCGAACACAACAATCGGTCCATCTGATCAAATTTGCCTCTCTACTATATCTGTGTATAACCTTGAAAAGATTGTTTTCCTTACACTACTGGTCCTTAGTTTCTTACCTTAAAATTAATCAGTACTATCCAGTAACCAAGGGATGATTGTTCAGGAAAGATAAACTGTTAATGTAATCCTCATAGAATCTGTCATAAAAGATCTGATAAAAGATAAAGCCTGGTACATAGTATTGACTACAAGCTCATATTCGTGGGCCTCTCACTAACAATTTGCTTAGCTGTCAGTGGAATAATATGATTCTTTTTGGATCAACTGGATTATGATTATATGGACCAGGAAGGAAATCTACATTAACCTACTGTTGAAGAACCAAAATGTTTAATGAACTAAATTTGATGAGGTTTTCTACCAATTTACAGGGCTTCAAGGATATTTCTCTTGAGAGATTTATACATGGTGGAGCAAATGTCACAGGATTCCAGTTGGTTGATTTTAATACACCCATGGTAACCAAACTAATGGATCGGTGGAAGAAACTAGATCAGAGGGAATATCCAGGATCTGAAACACCTCCAAAGGTATTTGTTTATTTTTGTATAGTGTTACTGTTTCCTTTTTTAATCTTTGGGTCATTTTATTTATGTATTTTATGTATATAAGTGCTTTTGCCTCATGCACGTCTGTACATCATGGGCATTCCTGATGCCCTCAGAGGACAGAATAGGGAGATCTCCTAAGAACTGGTTGTAAATTAGTTTTAAGTCCCTGTGTGGTGGCTGGGAACAGAACCTGGCTCCCACACAAAAGCAGCAAGTACTCTTAACAGTCAAGCCTGTGTCAGTACTATTTATTTTATGATTCCTTTTCTTACTCATTCAGACACATTGTGGCATCTTCTCACTACCCTTGTACTACAAAACACTGGGAAATTGATACATGATGGGGTCTGTGTAGATGGTACACTGGATAAAGGACCTGCTATGTAAGCTTGAGGACCTGCACTCAGAGCCTCAGCATAAACTAGTGCAGCAATGTATGTCTGTCGTCCATAATCTGGAAGGTGGAGGCAGATCAAGCCCCGAAACTCACTGGCCAGCCTGTGAGCCGATGCCTGAGTGCTGAAGTCCAGTGAGAGACCTTGTCCTAAACAACATGCTGGAGAGCAGCAGAGAAATTACCTGAATAAACTCTTACCTACAGATGGTCATGTGCAAGTGAACGCACCTACTGATGCACATTCATACATGAGTCATATACACACAGGCAATCATATACACCACAAAAATAATTTTAAAGTGTCTACATTTAATAACAGAGTTATCAGAATAACACAAGAAATTTTTTATTATTTTCTTCTGTGTGAACTCCTTGAAGATTTGCATTAAAAAGTTTCATTAACTACCATTTAAATGCAAATGAACATTATTAATTTTTACCCAGATAAAAATCACATTTAAAAATGGTTTACAGTAAGCAAATAAATTTAAAAATTGTTAGAAATGAAAAACGTAAAGCTTATATGCAATCTTTCTTTCAATTTAATAATTAAAAACACCAGGCTCTTTGAGTTGTTTTATAAATTTACCCGTTTGTCTGTGTATGGGTTTGTATATATGAGTATTCCCAAAAGGCCAGAAGAAAGTTTCAGATTCCCTCAAGGGGTAGTCTCAAGCAGTGGTGAGCATTGGGTGCTAAGAACAAAGTTCAGTCATGAACAGTAAGTGCTTTGAATCACTGACCCATCTTTTATGCCATGCTTTTGTGTGTGTGTGTGTTTTGTGATATGATATGTATAATGTATATGTAATATATATATATATACCATATAAGTATATATGTATGTATATTAGATGAAGGTGTGAATTATCAAGAAAAGAGTATAACATGAATTTAGAGACAGACAGTAAAGTCAAGAGAAAGGCACTTGGGAAAAATGGTAAACACCCAAATTGTGCGTGCCACCTTCTCAAAAGAGATAGCCATATGATTAACTATAACATATATGAGTGTGCTGCCACGTTTCTACTCATGGTACATTTTGTCTCATCTGAAAGGATGGGTCCTATATCATCTCAATGATGGCATGCTGCTCTGACTCCAACTTAGTGGTTTTGAGTGCCGTATAATGAATCATAATCTCTAATATTTCCTTAACTATGCATTTAAGTAGAGTTTTAATATGTAATTTGAAATTCAGACATAGAAAAATTAAGATCATTGAGTACAATCAGCTATTCTGTTTGCCTCACTATAAGGTTTTTTTTTTTTTAACTGGCTGTCAATTTTCCCTATTCAATATTTGGAATTAGAGAGGTACCCTATAGAATCAAGAAATTTCAAAATTAAGTATATATTGGATGTGCACTATATGCTAATCTTTCTTTTTGATATTTTAATGCAAGTGAGATGTTAATAAATATGGTAATTGGCCCTTGAATAAAAGGTCAAAGGTTCATGGAATACATAAGAATGATCATTTTAATGTCCCCGTTTTGATGATTTCCAACTTGCCTTCTCCATACGATTGCTTTGGATTATTTATTATGTTATAATGTGTGAAATGCTTTTAGGGAGTATGTTTATAATCTGTTTCATTAAAATCCAAGTACATTATAACAAAAATCACACCACACATAAAGTTTTCGTGAATCTTAGCATGATTCTAGATATCCAGAAGCCATTTAATACACATATGCAATAATTCTTATTACTTGTGATTATGTTCTGAAAAGCTTCATCAAGTAATAAGTGACCAAATATTGAGCTGTTATTCTTAGAAGAAACGTGATATTAGTTCCCCAGAGCCTCTAGTTATGGCCTTCTGTGAGTTAATCAATGCATAATCTTGGTTTATTGATTGTAGTTAACTACAAAATTATTACTAAGTACTGATTTGGAGATTACAAATAAATACTAATGAGTAAAAAATTCAAAAACAAGAGTCCATAAAAATGAGAGTTAGTCGTCATGAATATTTTTTTTCTCTTTTCTATGCGCTAATATGAGACCTGTTTTTTGGTACCAACTGCACAAGACAATTTCGAATGGTGCACATTTTTGACAACACTCTGGCCGGACCTTCTCAAAGTGCTCAGGGACTAGTTATAATTTTCTTAGGTCAAAGGTTAATTTGGGAATTTTACCATCATTTGCTTTCACAGGAGCCCCTAAGGAGAACATCGCCCCCATGTCAGCTTGAAGCAATCTTAGAAACCAGGTTGAGTTGATGTTGTGGGGCCCCATCTTCCTCCTGGAAACTTCAAAAATTACTGTAGGAAAATTTGTTGCTTGTTATGGGAAATTTAGACATTAACAACAAGGACATATACTGACATATAAAGAAGACACAGATATGAGGAAAAGCAAAGAAAGTTTATCAAGTATATAATTATCCTCATTCTGTCCCATTTCATGGCTCCTGATCTGAGACAGAAACTCTGAGATATCTCTTATCAACAGGCTTGGAATTGAAGAGGGACTGAGCCATAGTCCAACTCCAAAACCAGCTCTACATATTTATAAAGAAGTGTTCAAAAAACATATATATATATATAATCAATACTTACAGAATGTATAGAATGTTACTGTTGATCCTTAGTGGGTTGTAATTATTTTCCATCCATTAGTAATTAAATATTCAGGGTCCCTTAAATTCTTTGAAGATCAGTATTTTCCTGTGGAGATAAGAAAAGAACCCTGCCCCCAACCTATCTGTATTCCTTACCATCAGTATGCTCGCCATCCTTGTGAATGAATTGTTATTTATCTTTTCCAAATGGCTTTTCTTCTTCATACCGAACCTTTATTAATTTTGACGGTATCCACAATTATTCCTCATCTGTGGAGATAAGAGCAAAACCCCTTCCCCAACGCAGCACATCTCCTGGCTTCCATTGTGAGGTCAGCACATCCTTGAAATAAACTGGTTGATTTAGTTCAAAAAAAAAAATGAGAGTTAGTTATAATTAACTGAATTGTATTTCAGTTGGTTAATGTTTTAACCAAGAAACAACACATGATCTCTTACCTCATCACTTTCTTGCACTAAAAGAAATAATAATAATAAATACTGGGAAAACATATGTCCTTTTGATTTGATAATCCTCTGCTACCTTCCTGGTGCCCAGTTCAACAGAACTGTTCTGCCTTTGTACCTCTCACCAAGTGTAAGTCTCCACCTCTGCAGTCGTTCACCTTTATCTGCATTATCCATCAATTCCAACTTTCTCACAAAGTTTATCTCAAGTTGGATGTTCTTGGTCATCATCCTTTATACTCTCCATGATGTTAGAGTCTGCAATTCACAGCAAGGACTTATCATACTTAATATCTGGTTCCTGTAAACTCGTGGTGTGCCATGACCACCTCCTAACAACCTTCATTCTCACATTTCTGAGACAGTATGTACATACATTCTGCACTCAGCTGTTAGGTAGAAAATAAAAAGTCTTCCTGACAACTGTAGTAAATAGTTACTTTTTTTTTTTTGCTTTAAGCTCTATAACTTGTATCTTCCATGTTCTATAAACCTATGAATAACAGATCTTGAATTGATTTTAGTTATTTCCTGTCAAAATCCAACTCCTACTGAACACTGATTCTGCCTGTTTGTCTTCTATACCTACAAATGTCGAGAAGAGTTCAGTTCTGCATTCTGATTGATGGGAAGGACAGTAAATAACTCCAGGCTAAGAAACAGTTTTAAAGCTGCTCATAAATGAAATGTTTATTTTCCTAAGTGTCACCTATAAGCTGGTTATCCATAAATATACTTTCCTAGACTGTAACCCAATTAAGTCACATGAGAAAGAGTTGGAGCCTTTGACAAGATAAGGTCAGTCTAAACTTCAGCTTCCTTCTGTAAACTCTCTGCCTTGTTAAATTTCAGGAATTTGCTTCCCCAGTTGGCTGTCTCCTTTATTATGCACACCACTGACTGACTCCAATTCCTTTTCTACTTTACATTTAATTTAAAAAAAAATGGATTGACATTTTATAAAAAAAAACAAGTGTGTTTGGTGTTTTTGTTTTGGTTTGGTTTGGCTTTTTGGGCCATCTCCTCTTAGCTTTCTTACTACTAGAAAGAAATGACAATACTTTGTTTTCATCTCTTGATCCTGGCACACAAGTGACCTTTGGCCTTTATGTCTTTATCAAGTTTGTCTTTGAGAAAAGGTCCTTATTTCTCCTTTTTATTTTCTTGCCTTAGAGAAAGATGACTCAGAAGTTTTTTCTACTCAGAGACATGTTGAGTGGAGCAAAAGAGAAGACACATTCATTTTGGTAGCATTTGCTTCTTTTCCTTCAGCTGCTCCATCCTAACTGAGAGGGCACAGTTTGTGTAAGCCCATTAGTGTCCTGGTTACTCACTTTGCTGATATCTGTCATGACATGATCCTCATATATCCTGTTAATTCAAGCTTCATACCTTCTGCTATTACTTAAGCTGCTTTGTTAGAATTCATGTAGTTTTAATTTTTTCTTGCTTCAAATACTAACTCTTCTGTGTAAAGATCAGTTTAGTTGCTACATTCAGAATTCCAAATGGTTTTTCTCCATTTGCAGACAAAAAAAAAAAAAAGTTTATCCCCTGCTTAACATGGCATAAAACTCTCCCTATGCAGGTGTAGAAAGTGTTAATTATATGGAATTCCTGAAAGAGATAATGAAGTTATTGTCATGCCTAGTAGTTGATGATCTTCTGTGTCCTTAACTTTATATACTAAAATGTAATATAAAGTCCCACCGTGAGGCCCTTCTTCTTCTTCGAGGTGGTGGAAATTTGTGCTTTTGGGTCTCTATTTCAGGGTGAGTTCTCTCCTTTAAAATTAAGAAGAATAAGATGTGGCATACAGTCTTTGTGTTCAAATAAGAGGCGATAATTCCAAAGCCAGCACCAATGAATTATCAGTACCATTCTTGCTCTTGGGAAAAGATGGAGTTTTTGTCATAAATCCACAGAGCCCCAGAATTTTCAATGCGCTAGACTTTAACATCTGCCTTTTTATGCACTTTAACATGCTCAGTACACCTCTGCTCTGACTTACGATGGAGTTCTGGTGATGGCTGAAACTTTCCGAAGTCTCAGAAGACAGAAAATTGATATTTCAAGGAGGGGAAATGCTGGGGATTGTCTGGCAAACCCTGCTGCTCCCTGGGGCCAGGGAATTGATATGGAGAGAACACTAAAACAGGTAACTCATACTTTGGCTTTATCGTATGATCTTTTAAAAGTATGGTACATTTTTTAAAAGGCTAATTCATCTGACCATTAATGTCTATTACAATTTCCATGTTAATATATCAAGATTTCTACAATTTCCAAACATTTTGAAGTAGAACCTCAATGTTTATTTTTTATGTGTATATGTGGTCAAGATAACACTGCAAATCAAAAAAGGTCTAGAATCATGAAGGAGGTAGTGCAGACGCATTTGGTTGGCAAGGATTCTGGGCTCCATAAAGTGGTTCATGGTCCCAGCCCGACAGAGCTACTACCATTCTGAATGAACAGGTGGTTGTTGTAGGGAAGTGTTGAAATGTCAATTGAATGTTTCATTTCAACAATGACACTCACGTATGCTTACAACTTAACAACAGGAAGCTTCATTAGCTTCATTAGCTTCATTAGCCATGAGGAGTCCAGGATAAACCTGTGCTATAAAAAAAAGAAGAAATGTTTGTAGGAGCTAAGGACTGCTTCAAGACATCTTTAACTTTAGAAAAAAATATTAGTTTTATTCTTTTATACCCACAAAATAATACTTCAAATAATAAGTGTTGAAGATATTATCTGTAAGAATTATTTAACTCCTCTGAAATGTGATAAGTTCAAAGCATAAGTTAAATGAATGGGAATCAAAAGACAATTTGGAATTCAATGTGCTTGGATATTTTCAAATAATGTATTTTTAGCCTTTTATATCTTAATTCAGTGTTAGTCAGAAGTAAATTGTCCCTCATGAGAATTGTAGACACATAATCTACTGTGAGGATATATATACAAAAGAAACTAAAGATTGACTCTAAGAAAATACAGTTCTGTTCAATATTAGGAAAGAATTATGTTAGTTAAAATGAGAGCTTTATAATACAAAGAATTCATTTTCTGGGTGCAGAGAAAAATAACTTAATATCCTTCCATATTCCTCCTCCAGGTTCCATCTCAGCAACTCAGTCATTCAATAACATTCCACAGAGTTTATTGTATCTTTTAATCCCACAGTCATCTATGATCTTTAACCTAGTAGTGGGAGATTTCCTTAAGTGAAGCTGCAAATGAGTATGTGTATGTTTTCTTTTTCCTTTACAGGTTCGAATTCAAGGGCTGACTGGGAATGTTCAATTTGACCACTATGGACGTCGAGTTAATTATACAATGGATGTATTTGAACTAAAAAGCACAGGACCTCGAAAGGTGAGCTACAATTTAACTGAAAAATAAAAAAATTGTTTTCTTATTTTACATGTGAGACTCTTAAAAGATTATAGGAAAAAGAAAGCTTGATGTTCTAAATTTCTATTTTTAAATGATGCTCTCAACTGCTACTTTCTTGGTGGTCTATGCTGAGACAAATGCTTGTGTCATACATTATTAATGATGTGACAAAATGAAAGTTTCTCACTGTGCATCGTAACTCACAAGAAGAGCAATGTGGCAATGGGAACTTGGATACAAAATGGGAAATTTTGGAAACAAAATTGACTCCACAGCAAAGAAAACAACGTAGTAGGAATACCCATGTATGGTCTGTGATTCATTAGAGTGCAAAGAAAAGGCCCTGTGAAGTAGTGGAGTGGGTATACTCCAAACATATTGCTGTTTCTGGAAGTGGTCAGGCCAACATATATGAACAAAGAAAAGCAAATGGAAGATAGTTACTGGGAAAAGGAAGGAGAGAAGTACCTGAGTCCAGGAACGTGCTGGCATCATGGTCTTACACTTAGAAAACATCTTAGCATCATTTTTGCTACTGTGAAAACATTACCCTGAAAAAGCAAGCTTAAAAGACAAAGTTTTATTCTGCTTACAATTGCAGGTTACAGTTCATCTTTGACAGCAGGAACTTGTGATGTAGGTCACTTGATATTCACAGTCAAGAGAGAGACATCTGCATGCATGTTGTTTCTTTGCCTGTTTGTGCTCAGCTCACCCATCTCACTCGTACACAGCTCAGAAGCCCTCACTATGAACTAGTGCTGACTTCAGTGAGCTGAGTCTTCTCATATCAATAAGACAATTCTCATCTAGATGATCCTTCATAGAGAGTCTGTTCTCTGGTGGTTCTGGTTGTGTCAATTGACAATTAAAACACTCTATCATAGAAAAGCATCCATATAGCTCCAGATGTGAGGAGTCATCATGTCTTTCCAACATGCCCAAAGTAGTTTACATCAGAGCTGCCTGAAATTCCTCTCAAGACCACGTTCTGCCTGAAATATTTCTATGTGAAGTCGGGTATATAAGGTAGGAAAACAAATTGAACATTTACCAATTATAACTCAGAAAGAACTTTATATTTAAAAATTCCTTAGGATACCTTTAATTTCACCATTTATGAATACTAATGAGATTGATGTGCCTGACTATTTTTACATGAAAAAATAAATCTATTCTGAAAAATATAGTGTCTTTTTCCTCACACTGATCAATGTTTCTGACTTTATACACATCAGTACCGAGAACAGTCAATCACATAAATAAACAGTACAAAATGTCAGCAGCATGTTTCAAGACATTTCTGCTTTACGACATTTTGGAAATTGCTGGAAATCCTGTCCTAATCTCAGGCTAAAAGGCTAGTCCAACAACTTTTGTGAAAATCACGTTAGCAGAACTTTGAAAATCAAACCATATATGAGTTAGGAGTAGTAAAACATGACTGTAACCCCAGTACTGGGAGGCAATAAAAACCCTATCTGGAGTTATAGGTCATCCTCAACCATATATTTCTAAGCTGCATGAAACCCTATCTCAAAACCTAAAGAAATAAATAAATCACTGTAACATATTGATATCTACAAGTTATGGAATGACAGGAGAAAAATTTCAGGTATTTGTTTTCTATAAATACGCCATTGTATTTTTAATAAAATAAAAAACCTTTATATGTACAGTAAAAACTCAACAAATAACTTGTACAAATCTTAAATCTGAGTAAAGATTTTACAGGCAGAATGTATTGGTGTCATGTGGCATTAAAGATTGTACTACAGCACACGCCTTTAATCCCAGCACTCGGGAGGCAGAGGCAGGCGGATCTCTGTGAGTTCGAGGCCAGCCTGGTCTACAGAGCTAGTTCCAGGACAGACTCCAAATCCACAGAGAAACCCTGTCTCGGAAAAAAAACAAAAAAAAAAAATTGTACTACAGAGTGCTTGTATTGGGTATTTAGAAATCAAGGCTCCAGTGAGGTCACATGATGCATTATAAGCAAATGCTTCCAGCAAAACCTTGATTCACTACATATTTGATTTTGAATTAAGATGTGGTCACTGAAGGATCAGAAACTTATTATTAGTGCCTTCTCTTTTCTCCTTGTGCATCCCCCATGGTCACTTACACTAGTACATCACTGCTTAAGAAGCTGAGTTTAGCCAGTCATGACGCATGCATTTGATCTCAGCACTGGAAGCAGAGCCAGATGGATCTCTGTGAGTGAGAGGCCAGCCTGGTTTACAGAGTGAGGTCCAAGAGAGCCAGGACTACATGATTAGTACCTACATTTAAAAAAAAAAAAAAGAGGAGGAGAATAATGAAAAGATAACCTCTGGTCTGGACTTGATGTGATGGAGCCATATAATCTCACAGTAGTGGGTTATAACCATTGTGTAATGAGTGATACCTAGGATTCTTAACTTTCTCTTTTCTGCAGCATTGTCTACGAAGTCAGGAAAAGAGATGTAAAAGTTAGCTTATAAAGCTCTTTTTCAACTTTTGACTGACTGTTTGAGAAATATTTTATCTAATATAATAGCTACAATTTATGGAAGCCCTGCTGTGTTCCAAGAACCCAAACATGATGTTCTATATATATATGCAATTTCATAGTCAGCCTATAACTTGGATTTTACTATATTTCTTCCTCTTAAATAAAAAAATGCCCTAATAAGATATGTATCCTATAGGAAAAAATGTATTTAAATATGTGTGACTCTTGAACCTTTCAACATCATGTTTTGCCTGAAAAAAAATCCTGATGGAAAAAAGATATGCAATCCATTTGGTGATTGAAGAGAAGGCATGTGACATTGTAAAAGGAAAAGACCACTCACAGGTGGAAAAAAATATCACCGAGGCAGGCTGCAAGGAGGATGTGAGGTTTAAAGTTAGTTTTAGAGATAGACATTAGATAGCAGAGCCAACAATGGCAGGAAAGGCTTGGCAGCAAGACAGTCAAGGGCATGTATATAAATGGCAACAACTTACCCAATGCTTTGCTTTAGTCTATCACATGGGCGTGCATCTGGAACTGTGTGTGGGGGAGAGTGATGGGGTGCTATTGCACAATGCAGTTATAGGTTGTTGGCCTCATGATGACATCTCCTTCCTTGCCTACAGTCTGTCTGCTGATACATAGGAAACTTCAGGCCAACGGATTGAAGTCAGGGAGTAAAGGAGTTGAGTAACGTCTCATGAGCCAAATTAGCAGGCTCCTTGAGTAAAGGAAGGAGACACACATCCCAAAAAGAAATTCTGGGCCTCCATTTTCTTGGCATATTGCTAGTCTGTCTGCTAGCTATGGAGTTGACAGTATTCCATTGACAACTAAAATTGTTTTCTCGAGGAAAGAGAAGCCACCTTCCTTTTATGCATCAAACATTGCAGAGCTGGTCGACTAAGCAGAAACCTTTAAAATGCAAAAGATGATCTTTTATTTTACAAATTAGTAACTATGGCTAGTCAAATAGCTCAATAAAATTGAAAGACTATGAAGAAAAAAAAATAGGTGTGAGTCCACAGTAATACCTTCTGGGCTGTTTATACTGCTGAATTCTTTGTGGCCTATTAACCTCAGTGGTAACAAAAATTAAGTTTTCTCAGAAAGGAACTTAAGTAGAGAGTTAATGAATGATGCACAGATGGCTTCACACCCAACTGACATCCAGCCAAGACTCTTCAAAGAAAAATGAAGTATGAAATGATGCAGGCATTTCTGTCTTTGTTTTCCCAGTGGCAATGATCAGCAAGGAGATGTGACAGGAATCGTAAATTTAACATTGAGCTAGCTAGCTAGCCAACATGAGAAAAACTATGCTAGTGAGACTATGTGGTGTGTCTGAGAAGTGAGCAATCATTCCTGTTAACTGAACACTTGCCAGTGAGGGAGCAAGCTTTGAACATAGGTCAGACAGGCAACCCATCAACTTGTCTGGCTGCTCTGGCAGGAAACCTGATTGCATCTTATTAAGCCAAAGCTCAAGATTTTCTGAACCAGATTCATACATAAATGGGATCTCCTTGGTTACACTACTTCCCCCAAGGACTCCAGAGGGTGTGATTTACCACCCCAGGGCTTCAGAGTGTATGTTCCAAGCCTACTATTGCGGGAGTTCAAGAAATAATAATGGTAAAATTTCATTTGCTGAGATTAGCTTGTGTGCTGAGTACTGTCATGGAAAGATAATATTCATTTCCACATTTAATTTTCATGACAGCTTGAAAATAATGTGCATGCTTCTCAACTTATAGATAACTAGGACTAAGAGAAACTAAGCAGCCTGTCCAGGGAGAGTCAACTGAAAGAGGTGGTTTTGGAAAGAAAAGAAAACTCTGGTGGCTCCAGAGCAGCTCCTCCTGGCTACTTTGTAGCAACAATACCAAAACTGTAAGATGTCCATTCTTATCTGGTGTCCGTTCAGGACAAGGCTGCCTGTAGCAGTTCTCCAAGGCACCAACATTAGTAGAATAGACTTCTCTGTGCCAAAACACCCACTGGGTTATTCTGTTAGCCAAGTCTACTAAACACACAGGGGCTTTACTTATACACTATACTATATCTTGTGTTGTATCTGGGTAAAGTTATTACATTTAAGGAAATTTAACCTCCCAGATTCTAAAGATAATTTTTTTTCTGACATATATTACAAGTTTAATGATTTAAATGTTTCCAAATTTATTTGTCTGATAATATAAAATCATTTTCAATCCCTCGGGGAGCATTCCTAATTAGTAGTTTAACAGATGATATCAGGTAAGACAAATGTTAGTTTGGTTTTTTTTAAGCATGTTGGAATAAAATAGGAAGAGAAACAACAATTCTAGCTCAAATCTCAGCAAGTTTTTCTGAAATGATCTGTATAATATATAATATTCCAATAAATCTCCAATAATGTTTCAAAAGTAAATAAAAGATACCCTTCTGAAGCACGAATAATAAAAAACACAGAGACAGATATTAGGGTTCAACCTGAAGATCAGAAAAGCAAAATCAGCCAAGCCACTAGACAGCTCTTATTTCTTAGAAATCTTCATACTGAAAGAGAATGAATTCCTGTTTCATCCAGCCTTATATTCCTCTCTAGTGCTGGGATTAAAGGTGTTTCCCACCACTGTCCGACCTCAGTGGCTAACTAGTGTGGCTGCTGGGATTAAAGGTGTGTGCAGCAACTGCCTGGTCTGTATGGTTGACTAGTGTGGCTGCCTTACACTGACCTACAGGCAAGCTTTATTTATTAAAACACAAATAATATACCACTATACTCATCTTGCTTAAAAATGGAATGCCCAGTTGTAAAACCCTCTATGAGCATACAAACATGTCTATGGAAAAAAGAATTACAAGAAGCCATTGAGATTTCTAAAGTACATATGGGAACTGAGGAAAAGGGTGGTTTTAAAATCATTTTGAGTGAAAAATTTTTTACAGATTTGCTACATGTCCTTTAGAAATAGATATACATGGACAACTGAACATAACTGTGGAATTTATAGATACTCTAATTTCTAATTAAAATCCTTTTGCTATACCTATTCTTTTTGAATTATGTCTGCACCACTTGTGGATAATTATCTCTCTTTAACAATATTAATGCTTTGTTTGAATATATTCTTGCCTACTAGTAAGGCAGTTAAGACACTTGACAGAGCGAGAGAGTTTTGTAAACCAGAGTAGATCAGACATTGACTGCAGACCCATGAGCAAGTACACATATTTTTATGGGGGCCGTGAGCTTTATGAACATCATTAAGAAATGAAGCCTGCCAAAGAATTACATGAGCACTGACTTTTGGAAGTCATGCAGCATATAAGCAAAAATATAAGGATTCGGTATCATACAGGCTTCAGTTGTGAGTACTCACATTACTGGATTATAATCTTAGACAGTTTGTTTAGTCTTCACAAAGTATATTCATATCATAAGCATAGACAATAATAGCAATAAATTCAATTACATTATGCATACTAATTTTAGCAGGCATAGAATAATACACATCATACAGAGATATGCCCAAGAGCAACATTCTTTGTGTAGTAGCCTTCATTATCCTCCAATGATAGAAGTCAATCGGTGCATTCTCAATTTCCAGTAATATCCCACTGTCATACTTCATCTTCAGGTAGTAACTGCTTGGTTTATTTTATATAGAAGTATTTAAAATATATAAATGAGAAAATAATATTAACTGTGTTTTAGTTAGAGTTTCTATTGCTGCGACAAAACACCATGACCAAAAGCAAGTTGGAGAGGAAAGGGTTCATTCGACTTACTCTTCAGCATTGAAGTTAAACCCTGAACTGGGACAGGGACTCAAACAGGGCAAGATCCTGGAGTGCAGGAGTTAATGTGGAGGCCTTGGAGGGGTACTTCTTACAGACTAGTTTTTTCCTGGCTTGCTTAGCCTGCCTTCTTATAGAACACAAGACCAATAGACTATGGATGGCACTACCCACCATAGGCTTGACCCTCCCCCATTGATCACTAATTGAGAAAATGCCTGGATCTCAAGGAAGCATTTGCTCAGCTGAGGCTCCTTTCTTTCTGATGACTCTAGTTTGTGTCAAGTTAACACCAAACCACCGGTACAAACTGTTAGTGTATGAAGTGTGTAACATGTGCAAACTAATGAGTGCAGGTGTGAGCACCAGTGCATGAGTACAAAAGCCAGAGGAAGACATGAGGAATTCTGTTCTTTCACACTACATGTTATTCCCTTGAGACAGGGTCTTCCTATTAACCTGGAGCTGCATTAACAGCTAATAAGCCACAGTCATCCTCCTGTCTCTATTCATCTCCCACAAATAGGGGTGCAGTCACATGCATAGCCGTGCAATGCTTTTTCCATGGCTGGTAGACCTCTGAATTTAGGCACTCCCACTTGCTTATCCAGCAGTCTTGCCAACTAAGCCATTTCCCTAGCCCCAAATACTAAGATGTTTAAAGTTGAAGCACAAATTGAAATGTAAGCTTTAAAAAATGAAAATATTGCACATTAATATCCATCTGTGATTCAGTTTGCATTTCAGGAAATGAATTCTCAATTAGAAAATCCAAAGCATGCCTCAAATTAAATACGCACTAATATTTACTATCATATCACACAAAACCTAACTGGACTTAACATGGTATTACTTATAAATCTAAGGCTCATATAATGTGAATATTCAAAATTTCCCCTGTGTCTGCCTTAGAATCTACTGTAGGTAGTGTAGAAGAAACTAGTTTCTTCTACAAATTACATGTTAAAACCAAAACCAGTTCTGAAACACATCCATCTACTATGAACTCATTATCTGTCATCTTATCAAAATGATCATCTCTTCTCAAAGTGAGTTTTGACCATTTTTTTCTTTATTTATGCTAATGAGTCCTTTGACTACCTGTCTATCTGTGCAGTCTATGCAAGTAATATACACAGAGGCCAGAATAGTTAAAATCCCTGGTGTTGTAGTCACATATGGTTATGAGTCACCATGTGGTTAATGAAAATTGATCTTCAGTTCAATGGAAGTGAAGTTAGCTTTCTTTTCAGTGGAGACATCGCTCCAGTCCCTCATTTTCTCGCCTTTTTCTCTCTACAATATTTCTGTTGAGTGTATATAACACACAATAACTAAGTGAAGTGAAATTTTGTCACAGATAGGCATGAAAAGGGGAGTTTTGCAAATGATAGTTATGATCTGAGCAGTGCCTGCATAGTATCTTCCTACTTGAAACAAATCAACACTGAGATTTTACCAAATCTGGGTCTCTGAGAGATGAAAAGAATTTGCCCACATTGCATATGAAATATACTAGGAAAAAAATTACTTCTGAGAAAATAAGTGCCAACACCATCACTGAATTTCAAGACTTCACTTTTGCATGCAAATGGATGGAAAAAGAAAACACTATCCTGAGTGAGGTAACCCAGACCCAAAAAGATGAACATGGGATGTACTCACTCATAATTGGTTTCTAGAGATAAATAAAGAACCTTCATCTGGAGATGGATGGAGATAGAGACAGAGACCCAGACTGGAGCACCGGACTGAGCACCCAATGTCACAAGGAGGAGCAGAAGGAGGGAGAATATGAGCAAAGAAGTCAGGACCACAAGGGGTGCACCCACCCACGGAGACAGTGGGGCTGATCTATTGAGAGCTCACCAAGGCCAGCTGGACTGTGACTGAAAAAGCATGGGATAAAACCGGACTCTCTGAATATGGCAGACAATGAGGGCTGCTGAGAAGCCAAGGACAATGCCACTGGGTTTTGATCCTACTTCATGTTCTGGCTTTGTGGGAGCCTAGCCAGTTGGGATGTTCACCTTCCTAGACCAGGATGGAGGGGGGAGGACTTTGGACTTTCCACAGGGCAGGGAACCCTGACTGCCCTTCAGACTGGAGAGGGAGAAGGAGAGGAGTGGGAGGAGGGGGAGGGAAAAGGGAGATGGGGAGGGAAATGGGAGGCGGGGAGGAGGCAGAATTTTTTTTTTCAATAAAAAATTATAAAAAAAAGGAAATGAATTCTCATATAGTACTTACATGATATCAAGTCAAAACATACTTCTATATTGCTGTTTGCAAATAAGTTTCCTTTACACAAACTATGGCTGTTTACTGTATATTCTGTGGTTTTCTTGATGAAGTTGTAGAAATTAGCTTTCGGCAGTGCTGGCCTATCTCACTAGAAGAAAAGATCAATATGCCCAAGGTTTTATCTGTGTTTCTTCCATTCAGAAAAAAATCTTCCCTTGACTATTACATAACACTGAATTTGCTAAACATATATTAAGGCAGTATCTTTAACACTGTCTCAATAGGTGTAACTTAACCATCTACAATGCAACCATTATTCTTAAGGCTCTAGGAATATCAGAGAACAGAAAGCAGAAAAACTGTTAAGAACCAGAGGACCAGGACACCTGCTGTGAGATTGTGTCTTCTGTACTTGACAGGCACCCTGCTCCCATGAACTCTCAGCAATATGGCTGCAAGACCAACATAATGACAGCACCAGTTATCATGCCAACATGGACAGGGGAAGTCCACACAGTCCACCTATTGATAACAAGATGTAGGTGGTCCATACTTGCTAAGAGAAAGAGAATCAGTTTCCTCCAGAGATGTCCAGTCCCAAGTGGTCAGCCCATATACACAAAGTTAAAATGATTCAGGAGGTTGTGTATATGTGTGTGCATCCATGCTACACTAATAATTAAAGAAGAAATCAAGAATTTTGGAGGACAATGGAGGAGTCTATAGAGAAGGGAATGTTGGGGTTATGTAGAGGAAGTGTTCTTCTATTAAATTTTCAAAAAATACAAAATTATCAACTTTCAAAATACAGTTCCTAATGTTCCTGAGGTTTAGGCTTGTTTGGCAAGCTCACCAATTTGTAAAGGGGACTGTCGCAGGGGAACTCCAGGAGCACTTTTATGGTGAGTTTTCAATCAGCTTCTCTCTCTGGCAGGTTGGCTACTGGAATGACATGGATAAGTTAGTCTTGATTCAAGATGTACCCACTCTCGGCAATGACACAGCAGCTATAGAGAACAGAACAGTGGTTGTAACCACAATCATGGTGAGTTTTGGTGTATGCTTTCTAGTGTTCCGTCTTGTCCACAGGCAAATTTAACTCCCTGGCTATGATGAGGGGATACAAGCTGAATCTTAGTTGTGACTTGAGTGCTCTGACCCACCCAAAGCTCCTGAGGCTTTGAACAACTCTGTCCCAAGCTTGGACACATTCAACTCTTTCATTGCCCTTACTTGTGTTACTTTTGGTTGCAATGCTTTTCTTGGGAGAAAAAAGTTGACTCAGATGTTAAAAACCGAGACTGTGAAACTGAAGTTGGAAATGTTTGAAATTCTCAGACCGCAACAATGAATAATGAATTTGAGGAAGTCAAGCTCCAATCGAATCCTAAAACCATCAGGTGGAAATACCATATTCTCAGTGTTTTCAAAAGCATCAATGAAATAATCATCAATGGTGTTTAAATGGTTGTTTAAGCTCATCATGGGAGAGTGATCTGTCTTGTCTATTTCAAATTACAAGGATGTGAATGGGAAAATTCTAGTGGGTACTTTCTATATAACCGAATGCTTGATAAATTGATTTTGTTTGATATTTGTTTTTAATGTAAAAAGACATTTCCACCCACTGACTATTTTTTTCATTGACATATATAATTGAACAAACTTCTGGGAATCAAGGAAATGTAAATATTTCATTTGACCATATAATGAAATTTAACATGCTCTAAATTTTAAGGCTCCTACTTCGAGGAGTTCTTGTGGATTTGCCTTTTAAATTATATAATATTCCAAAGACAAATATGTCCTTTACATTTGGTGGTAGTCAAAGGAGATTGGAAATTGGTGACTGTTTATACCTTATTTAAGATCACAGATCCTCAGCTAATTTTTTCTATAAGCAAAACATATTATCAGTTATTCATAGAAACTATTACTTTAAATAAAGTGGAAGTCTTTGCCTAAGTTAACTTTTAGTTTACATAATTTCAATTTTAGTTTTAGGGTTTTAGTAATTTCAAAATATTTCTAAAATTGAAGCTGAAATCAAAACATGAAAAATAGCAAAATAGAAGCATTCGCCTATTGCAATCAGCTATACCTGTTTTGAGTAACCAGTTAGCAATTTAATGTAATCTGACAAGCCTTGATTTGGGAGTTGATTATTTTAGAATGCAAACCCACCAACAGCAGTGTTTGTATGAACTTTCTGACTTAATTGTGTAATATTTGCATGGGAGTTGAAAAGCAGGATATATATACATATATATGTATGTATGTATGTATGCATATATATTTTTCCTTTAAAAAGACACAATAATGGAAATTTATACTTCAGTACAGTCCTCCTCTTTTCAGCCTCTGATGAAGAATCCTATTTTAAGAAATTGACCAAGAAAGACAAGAGTTCCACGCTGTTCGACTATTCCTAACTAAGGCTCGAGTCTTGTTCTCCTGAGTAGTAAATTTAAGCTTATTTTTCATGTGGGATTCTTCTTGGATAACCAACTCTGGACTACCAGAAAACAGTTTTTAAATGTGTGTGTATGTTTGTGTGTGTGTGTGTGTGTGTGTGAGAGAGAGAGAGAGAGAGAGAGAGAGAGAGAGAGAGAGAGAGAGAGAGATTTGTGAGTTATTAGAACAAAAGAGTTGTTCCTTAGTCCTTATCATTCTCAAGAAAATAGATGCTGAAAAAGAATATAGTAGTGATTCTGATATTCCTGTTCCCATGTCATAAAATGAAGTCATTGTACATGATCAGCTCTCTAACGGTAGATTTCTTCAAAGTAAAACTCTGAATTTGTGCTTGTTTTCTGGATATACATATAATTGTTTGCTTTAGCATCTTTTGAAATGTCGCCTCTTCTGTGAAATGAATGTCTGATATATATTAAGAGTGTAATGTGGAGTCTTCTTCCCTTGGCCTGTTATAAAAGATGGTATTTATAATTTCTAGTGTCAAATTACATAATTGATTTTCCAAGCATGGCTAGTCTTCAGGAAGCATGATATCAAAAGCTAAGTAAAAATGTGACCGAAAATAAAATATATACTTCATATATATATGTAAAATTCTGTTTGCTTGATAGTGATGATAACAATATTTTTGTTATAAAAGTAGTGTATAGGAGTAGTATCTGTCTTTTATATAACTGTCATCTTCATTTAAATCATTCCCCTGATATTTTCAGTTCCATGACTATTCCATAATACCAAAACAAAACAGACAACCCCACCGCAACCTCCCTTAAAGTGTTCATTGAATTTGGTTCTCTTTAAAGCATTAGCTTAGGATCTAGGACAATCACCTCAGCTCACTTACTTAAAAAGAAGTATGATTACCTCTAGCTGATTAGATAAGTGCATGCAATACCCCCCCTCCCATATTCTATTGAAAAACTCAATATGGATGGGGTTGGCTAAAGGTTGCAATAAGTCTGAAACAGAGATCTAGATACTGAGGAAGCTGAGAATGAGCTCTGAAGAGCAGAGAATTACTGTCTAAATGGGTGTGGTGTTACTGAACTCACTTTGTCTTCCCTGTGTATGCTGTGTTTATATGCTGATTTACTGTTGTGATATATGTTATTGCTAAATAAAATTGATTGAGAAATCCAGTTATACATTCAGAATACTTACTGAACGTCTGTTATGTTCCAGGAACAGGGTTAGACTCTGGAAATACGACAGAAGTGACTTCTGCACAATGAAATTTATATTAGAGAAAAAAATAAATATGAAACATAATTCATGATTACAACTCTCAATACAAAATAAAATGTGCTATTATTATTTTTATGCTGTTGAAATTTATTTTTCCTTGCAACTGTTGTATGTCTATACTGGATTTTCATTTTCAAGATGAATTTATTCTACTTAAACACAACTATGTCAAACATACTGACTACAAAAAAAACTAATCTAAATAGGAAACAATTTGAAATTATATAAATTTCTATTGTTAATTCTTACTGACTAAAAATGAGGTAAAACCCATAATATTCATGAGACTGGGGACATAGAGATGCCATTTTCTGCAGACAAATACCAACTGTAAACAAATAACCCCAGGAAACCAAATCTAAACCTTACAAATAGGAGAAGTATAACTATTGTGGTTAAAAAAAATCTGCAGACTTGGGGTAGGGGAGTCCTTTTTATATAAACTCAGAACCTCCTCAGCTACAGAACTGTCTAGGAAATAAATCCATTCAAGGAAGAACATAACTGTGCCTGCCACCAACAGATAGCCTGTTTATTGACCATTTACTTTCGTTTTGAAGGTCTGAATCAATATAATCCAACACAACTTTGTAGTCAAACTATTCCTATTCAGTCAGAAGATGATCGAGGACAGGGCAGTTACTTCAAATGAAAATGTTTTCCTCTATTTTTCTTTACTCAAAATATCATAAAAATTACATTGCCTGATTGTACTGAAATACATTTCTTTAATTTTGTTCCCTCTCTTGTTAAATCATATGAAATTCCAGTTAATTGCAAGTCTCTTGATGTAACAACTCCAAGAGTTTCCAGATGTTTCAAAATTAAAAACCTGACTCCCATTTCTGTCACCTATTAACCAAATAAAATTGAATATTCACTTACCTTCCATGACTCTCAAGTTTTCTGCCCACTTGATAAGATGCTAACTTCAAGATGCAATGCAAAATATAAATCAAAGTATATAGCTCAAGAACTCAGCATTGCACCTAGCACAAAGAAAGCTCAAAGTCAGGAAGAGAAATTACTCTTTTTTACAATAAATCTGCTGTTCCCACCACTAGTTTCCTTTACTCTTATCACAAAGAATTTACAATCATTTTGATCACAAGGAAATGAAGGAGAAATCATTTTTTGTTACTAGCTCTACCTTCCTGTAAATTGCCTGGCACAAAGCAGATGTTTAATAAATGCTTGATTAAATAATGAACTTAACGTTTTTTGTTAACTAAACTATTCACCATGTTAGAAGAATTGATTAGATTAAGGGCAAGCTAAAATAATTCATACAAAATTAATGAAGTAGGATGCTTAATTGTGGAGTAAAATTTCTAAATGTTCAAGTATTCAAGACCCTTTAAACTTGGCCTTCAGTCTTTGTTTCAAATGAGAGGACTAGCATAGCTCACTCTACTGGATATCCTAACTGTTCAGATATAGCTCTCATATTTTACACGTTATTTTATATGTGTGGCTATGCTGTTTTCCATATAATCTTCCATAGGTTAATTAAGTCTTTCTAAAAAGATGAAAAGAATTTGTTCACAAAACTCCTAAAACTGTATAGTTTAGAAAGTCATCCCTTTGCAGCTACTCACAAATTTGCATGATCACATTCATAGTTTGAAAAACATGTTGAGCTTTCATACATACTCTTTCTAAGTTATATATACTTTTTCATATATTCTTTCTAAAGAATAATAGACAATCTTCATTAAAGAAGGGACAAACGTTTACCTTAATTTTATTAATGGCAAATTTTACTTCTTACCTCATTTAGTCTTGTATATCCATCCAATGCCAAGAATCTGGGTCACACAGTCATGACAAGCAGAGATATAATTTAAGAAATAGTATAAAGACATGTCACATAGTTTCCCACTGCAAAATCACAGGAAGTATCTCCATGAGAAAATACAATTTTCTGAAATTTCCTCATTTTCTTAAGTTTTTAAATTGGTATTTATGCTTGCAAGGTAATTATAATAAAGTCAGAATTTGTGTGGACCTATTGGATACTATATAGATCAAGCTGCTTTCTTCTGTAGAGCTTCAAATGCAAATTCCAATTCTTTAACAGATAATTTTTTCTGGATAAAAGTAAAAAAACACTTAGAGCAACCCTAAATTAAGGTTAGAGTATGATTTTCATAAGATGAACGTACATTATATCAGCAATGTTGTAGCCAATGTCATTACTACTTTTCTGAAAATGAAACACTGAGGTATGACCAGGAGTTCCCTCCATACTGTGTACTACAAACCTATCAAACCCATCTTTCTGTTTATGGATAGGTGCCAATAGATCATTCGCAATAGGATGACTAAACCATCTCTAAAATTAAAGCCTTAAACTGCTGTTATTTGTGTGTGAGTGTGTGTGTGTGTGTGTGCTCAAAGAAAACAATTTAGCAACTATCAAACACCAAGAAACTATTGCATATGATGATAATGTTTTCAATATTTTTTTCCTCCCATTCTCTGACACAGAGGAAAACAGCTTCCCCTAAAGACATATTTCATAGTAAACTTACAATTCATGAAGCACATTTCTTATTTAAAGTCAAAATATGGGACAGCAGGAGCAAAGTGCATTTAACACAAGTAACTAGAGACATGTGCCTTTACTCTTTTTCAATTGAAGAACTGTAGCAAATGCCTTCTCTGAGAAAAGCATCTTATTTAACCTACTTGAAATGGTTTTCTGAAAAAGAAAAGGTACAGAATATGAAGTTACGAGACCTTGACTAGGTTTTTAATACACTATAGTGGTCACTTTGTAATTTCCAATTTCATGAAATATTTTGGAAATATCAGTTTCAAGGCTAAAAATGATTAAATACTCTACCCTAGAAAATTGCTAAAGTAAGGTGGGCAGTGGTGGCATGTTCCTTTAATCCCAGCACTGGAGGCAGATGCAGGCAGATCTTTATGAGCTCAAGGCCAGCCTGGTCTGCAGAGTAAGTTCCAGAACAGCCAAGGTTACATAGAGAAACCCTAATGGATTTATTTATTTTTTAAAAGTCATAGTACTAGGTACATGACAATCAATCAAGAAACAGTTTTAAATTTTAATTTTATTATTCAATGTAAACCAGTTTAATACAGTTCTAAGTATATGTATATTCATCTATCTTATTAATAAATTCAAGCCACATAAAATCACATAAACATAATAAATATATTCTTTTGTCAAAAAATTCTGAAACTATAGTTACAGAAAGGTTTTTCAGATGTTTTGTAATTTCTCCTTTACAGTTCTGCTTCTCTCATTGTAGGAATCCCCCTATGTTATGTACAAGAAAAATCATGAAATGTTTGAAGGAAATGACAAGTACGAAGGCTACTGTGTAGATTTGGCATCTGAAATTGCAAAACATATCGGTATCAAGTATAAAATTGCCATTGTCCCTGATGGAAAATATGGAGCGAGGGACGCAGACACTAAAATCTGGAATGGGATGGTAGGAGAGCTTGTGTATGGGGTAAGCAAACCTACTTATGAGGAATTTACTTACATAAACCTGAAACCTCTTTTCCCTTGGGCATGTATCAATTTTTAAACATCCATTGACTGTTTTATTTTCTAATTTATAGCAATGTTTCAAAATATATTCGACATATTCAAACATTTCCCTATTTCATTAGAAATGCACATTCCAAAGAACAGAGCTCATCCTGGTAATTTAGAACAAGAAAAGAAATAAAAATCCAAAATACAGTGTCCTCCAGATAGCACAGAGAAAGTAATAAAAAAAAAGTGACATTGGCTTTAGAAACTGTGATGAATACGCATTAAACAGGTAGACACAGACAACTTCAATGATCAATCAGCAACCGGTTACTTGGCAGATTCCTTCCAAGAGTATAAAGTCAGTGACTACTTTATCTAATTGTATGTATCCTTGCTATTCATAATTGTTCATAAGTGTCTTTTAACTAATTTCTAATTGTTATAGTCTCCCAGTGTCTAAAATGTTCATCAGTATTGTGCTTCTTACAATTCTTTGAGCCATGGTAAATGTACATTTCAGATAATGTACCTTTTCTGTACCCCCTTTTCATTCAAGCATACATAACAAAACACAAAAGCTAGAATGATTTTCAAAGTAGGCCTCTAACACAGCATGCAGTAGACATGGAATGCACATATAGATAGCCAAGGGCAGTCCTAACACAACACAGCAGGAAATTTCTGCCTCAATGAACAAGATCAAGGTCCCTCATTTTTGGCAGCCTCTGTAGTGTCACAATCAAACCACAGTAATTCTATAATATGTTCCAAATTCAGAGTCCAAACCTATAGTACACAGTAAGTTTGTGCATCCAAATAAAAGAAATAAAACCAATAAAAGAAATAAATGTATGAACTGAATTATGAAATATTCTAAATGCTACTTTGTAGTTTATAGATTCCACGTTCAAAGCACACACTCTCCTTTTGAAATGAAGAATTACATGGAGAACCATCCTTCACCAGGAAAAAGTAAACAGACTCAAGATAAAGGCAAAGGTCACAGGAGGAATCAAATTCCTGGCTAGAACTGCAATGAAACAGTTTTTTTAAATTCTGCATCTCATTCTATTATTATTATTATTATTATTATTATTATTATTATTTAAAACTTTTTTAATTTAAAACCCTCTTGTTGACACACTAAGGAGCCCTAGACACCCTGATGCAGAATGCTGTAGAGCCTGTGCTCGCTGCTTCAGTCTTTACAGATTCTTACAAGCTTTGCTCAGTTGACTTAGAGGGCCTTGTTCCCCCAGTGTCCTCCATCTACTCTGCGTCTTTCACTCTTTTTATTCTCTATACCACTGGGTTCCCTGAGATCTGAGGGGAGGGATTGCACTCGTTCCTATTTTCAAACTAGACATAAGAAACATTTCCCACAAGGTGCAGTACAGTTGCTAAGACTTCAGCAGACACAGGAAAATAGGTCATATCATAAAGCAACCAATTTAACTTCCATAGGGAAGACTTGCCAGAGTGTTTCACTGACTCCAGATGAAAGGAATATGAAATTTAAAAATAATATGCAAAATATATTTTACCATGTGTTTCAATGACCATGTCATAATGGGTTTTAAGTTCTGAAGGAGTCACTTACACTCTACTCTTAAGACTTTAATTTCTAATACTTCATAAAATGGCATGGTCCAAATTGTTAGAACCATGGGCCCAAAATATGCTAGGTCAGAAGACGTAAATTTTTTTAATTTTTCTTTTTAAGCATATCTTTATAGTCATAATGGGAAATCCTAGGTATAAGACACAATTCTAAACATGTAGATAAAATTTTCTACTTGCCACTAAATAAATTATTTAAAGGCTTTAGATTTTGGAAAATTTCAGATTACTAACTCCATCCCTACTTAGCTTTAGATGGTCTGACCTACTGGAAAAATTCTGGGATATCTGTTACATGTCTTCTCTCATCTCTGCATAAATAAGTGTTGTGACTATATTTTATTTGGGAGAAATTGCATAAATAATAAAAAAAAAACAAATGGTGCAAGAGATCATAAACAACACCCATGTCAGAGCAATAGAAAGTCCTGAAATTACATAATTCTCAATGACAGCAAAGAGATGCCGTAAGGCTCTTAGTAACAACACACTGTTTCTTCAGAGCGATTTGAAGACACCAATGTCTTGATTTGTCCACGTTGTCCCAAAGGAAATGTCTTCATGTCTCTTATAGGTTCCCCTGACTACTTTTTACTGTTGTTTCTATAGTCTGTGCTTGATTCTTCACTTTTTCTTACTTGCTTGCTTGCTTGCTTCCTTCCTTCCTTCTTTCCTTGCTTCTTTCTCCCTTCCTTCCTTCCTTCCTTCCTTCCTTCCTTCCTTCCTTCCTTTCTTTTCTTCTTTTTCTTAACGCATACTCAAATGCCTAGTTTGCAAGGTTTGAGGTAAAGCATGGTCATTTTCTCCTAGACAAAACTTATTAGAGAGTAAAACAAGAAACTATAGAAATTTTGTTTATTCTTTGGAAACTGTTACTATAAATTTTATACATTGATTGCCTTGCATCATTTACATAGAGAGCTAACATACAACTGTATAGGAACCTGACATACACTTTCAGGACACTCCCTTAATCAATCCCTCTGTCTCTCTGTCTCTCTCTCACTCTCAGCATATGTTTGCTCATCTTTGTGCTTGATCACAAAAAGTAAAGAGCAATCTATTAATGACTTAACACTAAAATTGCCTGTAGTATGAGTGATGGAGTGAAGGAGTGAAGAAGTGATTCCTTATTGTCACGCCAATGGTGTTTAAGAATAAATATCTCATCTAGCTTCCAATGGAAGCATCTCACACACTCTATTTTATCAATCTGTAAAAGGTAACAAAACAAAGCACACACAACAACCTCAGCATTGGCACACAATGTCCACACACATTCTCACCCGTTGTACTGAGCTGTGATCAATATAACAAACCCGAAGTCTCAAACTATGTAGCAGTGAATTAAGACAGGTTGTCTCTAAATAAATCTAAAAATTAAAAGTACAAAAGGTCAGTGTTTAAGAGCATTTGCTTTTGGCAAAAAGAGTAAAGAACCAGAGATCAGCTCCTAGCACCATTGTTGGACAGCTCATAGCCATCTGTAAGTCTAGCTCCCTATTCTGACCTCTGAGGGAACCTGTCCACATGAACACATACAAACACATACACATCTATCAAAATTAACAAATCTTGTAAAAAATGATAGCCTCTGGAGAAGATTGTGTCTAAATATGCCCACTCTTATTTTGATGAGAACTATTTTCCTTTAAAGTAAATAAAACTATTTTAATTTTTTGTTTAAACCAGAGTTTAATTTTTATGGCACAATTTATAAAATTCTATTGAAGATGTTTTCCAGACTCAAGTCTAAGAGCTACCACAGTGTGGAAAACTCACTCAGTCTTAGTTCTGTCCAGATAAGCAGCAGGAAAATGTCATTTAAGGTAATTTAATCTGCATCACATAAAGACTACATCAGCACATGTTCGCTATGTCTAATTAAGGGTTTAGTAGGTAAACAGGCAAAAACGCTATCCCATTTTAGAGACACAGAAAAAAAATAACTCAGGGTCACCAAACAATGAAAAGGGGTCTTGTGACTTTGATATCTGAGAATTAAAGATACTATCTTGTTTTAAAAGAATATCAGAAAGAGAAAATCAAAGAATGTTTATCACAGGAAGCAAATGGCAGCTTCCAGATTTTTGTGTGTGAGCTGAGCTGGAATATGTTGTCAAAAGAACAGGGATTTTTTTTTTTTTATGAGACAAACACTGATCAGGCAATACCCTTGACAATATTTTTGCAGGTGGGCACAGTATGTAACCCAAACACTTGGGAAAGCTGAGGATCAGGAATCCAAGGCCAACATAAACTGCATAGTGGGATTCTGTCTCAACCTTTGTCAATTTATGTATTAAGTAGTATCTCATAAAACCAAACCACTACGTGTTTTATTACCTATAACTGACATTTATTACTGATGGCATCCAAATTTATTTTAAAAAATGAATGCAATACTGGTAAACTTTGCTGATCACTCTACTGCTAACTGCTCCATGGAATTTGCTGATGTGTATTTCCTTGTGTCTTTTCTCTCACAGAAAGCAGAGATTGCTATTGCACCTCTGACAATCACTTTGGTGCGTGAGGAGGTCATCGATTTCTCTAAGCCTTTCATGAGTTTAGGCATCTCTATCATGATCAAAAAGCCTCAGAAATCTAAACCAGGAGTGTTCTCCTTCTTGGACCCTCTGGCCTATGAGATCTGGATGTGCATAGTGTTTGCATACATTGGTGTCAGTGTGGTCTTATTCCTAGTCAGTAGGTTTAGCCCATATGAGTGGCACACGGAAGAGCCCGAGGATGGAAAGGAAGGTCCCAGCGACCAGCCTCCCAATGAGTTTGGCATCTTTAACAGCCTCTGGTTTTCCCTGGGTGCCTTTATGCAGCAAGGATGTGACATTTCACCCAGGTTAGTGTCAAAACTGACGCTCTTCACCAGTTCTCAGAGATTCTGAATGTTCTCCATAGTTTCTCTGTCTTCTTCTCCCTGAGACAGAACACCAACTGAAGTGCAGAAAAAATAGCAATTATCTCATAATCCTATTTTATAACTAATATCTTCTAAGCTAGCACAAAACATAAATGCATTACAAGAAGTAACTATGTGATCCACTGCCACTCCCCAAAATTATTTTGTAATACTTTTCATTGAGTAGCTTTACAGGTGTTAACCAAATCTAAACTGTAGAATAACACCCATTTTTATGGTATCTCTTATCCAAAAACTGTTGCTGTGGCTGTTATTGTGATCTGTCATCAAAAATTGTTGTTGAACTTAACTCACATAACTTAAGGGAAATCTCTGTTCTGGAGTTTCTAGAAACATGAATGCTGTGCTTTGTAGTAGATGTGGATGGTTTTTTAGGAAGCATTGAAGGAAGCTGAGCACCGGGGGAAGAGCTAGCCATGGAAATAGCTGTTTCTGCAAGGGTCATCGGGATTTCCTTTCTTCCCTGCCACTGTGCAATTGTAACACAAAAACTCCAGCTTGCTACATAAAAAAATGGTTGGTTTCTCCCACAAGAGTAACTAAAAGAATAAGAAGGAAAATATCGAATTTTGTTTATTTGAAAATATATATATATATTTAGAAATATTTGTGTTTCCAAAAGAAGGCTTTTTGTAATCAATTCATCTGAAATTAAGACCCAAGAAATGACAAAAAAATCTTTAAATTTCAATAATATAGGATAAAGAGGCAAAAACAAAGGATCAGAGCAAACCAAGTTTTTTGAACTGAAGGTTAAGACTATACTAAGTTAAAACTAACAGGTTCCATATTTTAAATCACAAATGACCTGATTAAAATTAGCAAAGAGGGCAGGGGGGTAGAAGAACCACAAAAAAATTCCAAGTTTTGCTTTACATAAAACAAGAAGTGTTTATGACTAGGGAGTTGATTCAGACTAAACCCAGAGATCTGAATTCAATTCCTAGGCTCTACCTGGTAGAAGAAAATAACTCCCCCCTGACTTCTTTATGTATAACATAGTGCATACATGCACATGCCAACACACAAATAGATAAATACAATGCAATTTTTAAAAATTTAACTCTATATTTTAAAGCTACTTGGCAGATGTGGTGATTTACCTACAACACTCAGGAGGCTGAGGCAGAATTGCTCCACATATAAGAAAGCTATGGGGCACATAGTGAGTTTCAAGCCAGCCTGGACTATATAATGAGAGAGACCATGTTTTGATGGTAAAAATTAGTAAAATTAATTATGAACAATATTCCCTGTATTTTTAAAATTTATTTTATCTTAACTTTTCTTCTGTTAATTACATCCTCCTACACAGCATAAAATATACTTTTAGGACAACTCCTCATCTCAAAGTAAGGTCTCTTGAGGCCAAATCTTCTCATCTCACTTAGTCCAGCCTCATCTTGACCTACATGGCATCCTCTCTGGAAGGTGTCTACCATTGGGCAGAAAATCTAAACTCTGTTAGTTTAAAATCTAATCTCTCATTGTCTGCAACATGAAGAGAGTAAAACACTGCCAATAAAACCAGAATACCATATTGTCGTTTATCAATGGCTGCATCCTACTTCAAAGATGATGAACTATCAGAGAGGGTACAGACGACATTAAGCAATATTCCCTTTGCTCTCTGCCAGAGAGGACAGTTCCACATTTCTGCCAATAAAAAAAAAAACAAATTCATTTTGCCATGCCTTCAGTGGCACTTAATTTTAGCAATGATGTGAAGTATGCCATTGTGCATCAATATAAGCCACGTTCTTAAGTAGACTAGCAGAAAATAGCACAATATTTGAAATTGTAACTTTTAAATATGGTTGAGAATTGGTGACATTTCTTTATTTTTCCTGTGACTTAGAAAGGTAAAAACTGTATAATTTTATCCATGTTTAGATCCCTGTCAGGTCGAATTGTTGGAGGCGTCTGGTGGTTCTTCACACTCATCATTATATCATCTTACACTGCCAATCTGGCTGCTTTCCTGACGGTGGAGAGGATGGTCTCCCCCATAGAAAGTGCAGAAGACCTGGCCAAACAAACAGAAATTGCATACGGAACCCTAGATTCGGGATCAACAAAAGAATTCTTCCGAGTAAGTCACAGGCAATGTTTACAACACTTATAACAGTAGTGTGGATTGGAACGCACAATGACAACAGCTGAGTTTACTCTTCATGGCTTTTTCTAGGTTTTATAATCATAATCTTAACTTACTGAAACTGATGCACACTGCAAGAAAAAACCTCTCTGAGAAATAACAATAGTAAAAAGGTAACCAAAGTCACATGGCTTACCCAACATCCCAGTGTTACTAGCACTCTGATCATTTTACTTCAAAAAAGATTAGAACTCTATCTATCTGAGGTCAAGAATAGAAAAATGGAAAGCAAACCTTTCTTTTTAAAAGAAAGACTACATTTAACTTTTGTATTTGACACTCAAGACCTCAGTGCAGACTCTGCTTTTTCTTTTTTTTTTTCTTTTTGTAATTACTTTAAAAAAATGCCAATCCAAATTCCTACTCCCTCCCCTCCTCCCAGTTCCCTTCCTCTCCCTCCACAGACCCTCCCTCCACCCCTCCAGCTTTAAGGGAGTGACATGAGCCGTGCCCTGTGGAAAGTCCAAGGCCCTACCTACTACGCCTAGGTTGAGCAAGGTTTACATCCAAAGAGAATAGGGTCCCATGTAGCTGGTGTATGCAAGTAGAGACACATCCCAGTGTGACTCTCAGTGGCCCCTCAGTCTGCCCCAGATGTCAACCCCCTTCAGGGGAAGCTTGGTTGTTCCCATGCTCCCAGTCCAGTTGGAGTTGGTGAGCTACCATTAGCTCAAGCAAACTGTCTCAGTGGATGACCCCCTCATGGTCTTAAATTCCTTGCTAATACTCTCACTCCCTCCACTCTTAAACTCTATCTTGGGAGTTCAGTCCAGTGCTCCAGTGTGGGTCATTGTTTCTGTTGCCATCTGTTGTTGAATGAAGGTTCTATGGTGATATTTAAGATAATCATCAGTCTGACTACAGAGTAAGGTCAGCTCAAACACCCTCTCCTCTATTGCTTAGGATCTCAGTGCAGACTCTTTTATGAGCCAAATCACTATGTAATCTATTCCATAGCTATGGTTTTCAAAGCAAAAGCTTCGCTTTCTTACAAAATGCTATTGGCAAGAAAGGTACCTCCCTAAAAAATGGTTCTGGAGACATCTATACAGTTGTATGGAATTTAGATTTGGTGGCTTTTGTTTGACAGTAAAATGTTTCAAGTTAGTATAACTGTGTGTTGTGTGAATAAAGTTCCTTTGACTTTTTATTACTAATGAAGGGTGTTTGTCTTAGTCTGTTCTGTTATTTTTTCAGTTGTTACATTGTAGTTAAATTGCTTTTAACCATTTTTAATTTTTTGAGACAGTATTTCTCTGTGTAACAGCCCTAGCTATCCTAGAACTAGCTCTCTAGACCAGGCTGGCCTCAAACTCACAGAGATCCGCCTGCCTCCTGAGTACTGGGATTAAAGACGTGGGCCGTCACTACCTGGCTAGTTTTTTGTTTGTTTCATTTTGTTTTGTGTCGTTTTGAAGTTAACAAATTAACTAGTTTAGTTCTGGAATCTTGTTCAGATATGCTATTATGCTTTGTTTTTCTCAATGCTTCCCTGTCACCTACGGTCCTCTTCATGTCCCCCATGTTCCCTTCTTATGGGTCCTTTCTACTCCAAATATCCCTTCTTTTCTTTCAGTTCCCTTCTAATTTGCTTCTTCTTAGGTATACAAAACCTACTGAGCAATGTACACTCACAGATACTACCAGCTTATTTTCTGAATTGGGGGCCAAAATATTAAAAGGTGGCCAAAGTGGCATTTCATAGATATTGAAGTAGATGATAATGAATATATGTTTTATTTAATATCAATTAGTTGATATTATTCTAAATAATACCAATTATTCAGAATGTGAGAAATATTTTACTATTTTTTAAGCTTTTTTATTTGAAAGCAATGATAGCTTATCTTCTGGACTTTTCAACAGCGTCTGAGAGAGTGACATATGTCATTTTTCTCAGTAGCTTAAAAATAAACAAAACCAAATTTATGCTCTGTGAACTGGCTTTAAATTTACTTGACTTTCAATTAGATACCTTTTAAAGAAGAAATTTTCATTTTTATTTTGATTATATAGTATTACAAATATTTATATAAATCTAAATTAACACCAAATCACTCAAAACTTGATGAAACAAACCAATGAGTATTGTGCTTAGTGTTGAGTATTAGCCACAAATATTGATTAAAATTTCAAATGATCTGAAAATATTTGTGAATTTTTCTGAATGACTAAGTAACTGTTATGACAGTAGACGTTATTAATATTGTCTGGATAAAGTTACTCAGTCAAGCCTTCTCTTAATTTACTGAAGAGATGGTAACATTTACTGACATGTCCTGGAAGCCTTCCTGTATCTGAATAGAATGCTGTCACTTCCCTTCTACAGAGAAGTGATGAATGGTGTCCATTAAATGATAGAATTGGCAGGTTCACCACATTGCCTTGAGTAATGAAAGAGAAAAGACATATCGTGTTGATACCTGGGAAAAACAAATGATAGCTCACTGGAAAGCTCTTTAGAGGCCAACACAGTGCAAATATTGACCTCTTAGTCTTATTAAAAATTTTATTTTTTCCTGTTCAAATTCTGAAAACTGGTGAGATAGATAAGAGGTTGTATCAATTAAAACACGTGTAAGCAATGAAAGCTGCCTCCATCGTTTAAGTCTTCTCATACAAGCTCAACCCCAATCAAGCCTCTAATTCTTTCTCTCTTGCCCAATTTCAGTTTTAAAATGGGAATATTTTTGTAAGTTTAGGTATATATTTTTACAGAACATTCCAAACAGAACTGGGACAACAAAGTAATTTTCTTAGGCAAAACTCTTTCAAGAATGTGTACATTTGGGTCTTCTGATAAAAACAACATTATTTTGTACCCTATTTGCCTCCTTCCTGCCACTTCCATTCATGGTGACCTGGTTTATATAAACCATTGGTCTGATAAGCAGAGAAACAGAATTTGAAAGGGTATTTTTATACTTGTCCAAAATGCTTTTTTTTTTTTTTTTTTTAGTATACCATAATGGCACATCTGTCAGCTCCACTCAGCCATCTCAGGCAGCAAGTGACCTACAGGCAGCACTACACAAGAAGGCATTGCTTTTTCCCACTGCAAAAACAATGTAGGCCATTCTTGGGGGGAAATTACATATGCACTTGCCTTGGCTTCTCCCCTTATGAAAGTCCCTATACTTGGGGTTCTGCACATCTTGTTAAGCTTATACTTTCTAAAGCACTGTACATGTCACTCATGACAGCCACGCCACTCAAGCATTCTATATTACACACCTAACTCAGATACTGATTTTCACGGCAACCCAAACTGAATCTTGTTTCTGTCGTCAGTAAGCTGGAAGAATAAGTGAGCTCGGGGTTTAGAATATTATCAACTAAGATACAGATGAGACGTCCCCAAAACACAGGCCTTGATTCCTATACCACTAACAGATAGAAAGTAACTAAATGTCCATGAGAATGCATGATATACATTTTCTATTAAAAGCAGGTATGTACAATACTTTGTGTGTAAGGAATGAGAATAGCTTTATTAAAATTCTAAGCATTGTTTGAACTAATATATTAATCTTGAAAATTGTTGCACAATAATGATGAAATGAACAGATCTGCTATTTCTAATTCTTATAAACTGACTTTTACATGATCTATACTTATTACCTTGAGCATATCTACTTCCCATGCCTGATTTTAATTAGACGCACAGTTAAAAGATTTTGAAATGCAAAATGTCCATAAACATGTGCTTATTAGCTTTCTGGGTCTGTAGAATGTCCCTGATTTTAGCCCATCTCATCAAATTTGTAAATATTTGCTTGACTTCACCCATTAACAAACATGCTTGCAGCCCCCAGGGCTGTTATTTCTGGTTTTATGCTTTTTGACTCTCTTTACAGTTTGCCTATTGTGTGATCTTGTCCAAATCAGTGCACTTTCAGTCAGACTCAGTATTTCTAAACCTTGCCAGAGTGACGAGATAAGCCCAGCATTCCAATGAGTGGTCTGCCCTTCAGAACTTCTGCTTAGGCCTCCTAAAGTCATCACAAACACTGTGTGGATTCATCTTTTATTCCTTAATTTTAAAGAGAATTGATGCAGCAGTAATTTTCCTCATATTAGTGGTATAGAAGTGGATTTTCAGAGCTAGGTGAATCTCTCAGTGATTAGAGTCCCCACAACTTACCTAAATAGTAATCTGCCAACCTAAAACTCCAGACATTTGGAAGATGGAGATAGCAGATTCCCCAGAACAAACTAGCTAAACAGATTCTGGGTTTGACTGAGACACCATGCCTCAATGAATAAAGTAGAGCAATCAATTGATATTGGAATCATCCCACTATCAATTTCAGATGGCCACATGCATGTGCACTTGTGTGTACATGCATGCACACACATTTTCCCACATATATGATAATATGCATACACTTACATGTACACCATAAACAAACATACATGCAATGAAAAAAGTAAACATTCAAAAATCTGTGAATGTCCTAAAATTTTTTAATCTTAATTTTTCTCCATGCTACTCTTTCCTTTTGTTGTCTTATTTGACAACAGTTATTAGCAATAACTGGAAAGCTGCCATGTAATTAGTACTTTTCTTGTATTCTTAATATTTTTTTTTCAAAATGGAGCTATAAAACAGATCAGTTGGCAAAGTGTTGGCCGTGCAAGTATACAGACCTGAGTTTGATACCCAGAACTCACTTAAAAAGTTGAATATAGTGTTGTAGGCTTATAATCCCAACACCAGAAAGGCAGGACAGGCAGGTCCTCAGGACAGACTGACCAGCCTATCTATCCTGTCGGGTCAATGAGAAACACTGCCTCAAAAAACAGGGTGGATGGAACCTGAGGAAAGATACCCAAAGTTGACCTCTGACCTCACGCACATGTTCATGCATGCACACCCATATAGACATGTAAGAGTGGACATGCACACACACACAGACTCACCACAACTTCTATACTATGGGATGTTTTTTCAAGTGTGAGTAGCATCAAAACTTTTCAAAATCCCTTCTAGATTGTCCATTTCTCACATTCTTTGTCATAGAACAAATGCAGTGATGAGCATTGGTCTGTGGTAGGAAGCTATCAAACATGAATGCTTGCTGGCACTTTTCTATCTTACCAGAAGTGTCTTTTGGAAACTTCTGAGTTCATGTGGCTCTTTTTCACATAGAAATGTATTTGGGGAGCTGTTGGTACCTCTCAGTAACTGAAAGTGCTCACTTGCAACAGCTTCAAAACTGGGTTTGAGATCTAGAACCCATGAAAGGAGATAACTGATTCTCTAAAGCTGTCTTTCGACCCCCACACATGCAGGCTGGCACCCCACCCTACACACACACACACGCACACACACACACGCACACACACACACACACAAACACACATTAATAATTAAATTTCAGTTTAAAATTCAAAAAGCTTAAGTAAACTAAGTAGTGAGGGTAATAAAGGTAGACAAAGTAACTTTTAAAAATAAATAAGCATCTTGGCAAGAGACACAAGAAGAGACTGACACGAAATAAAGTTTGAAAACAGAAATCACTTCTCTTTATTCTCTTTAAAGCCCAGTGTGTTGTCCTAATTGTTGATGTTGTCAAATTCAGTCTCAAGCTGGGTGAGTCATCTAGAGCTTGGATATTGTTCAGTGGGTACTCAGTTTGTAAACGCCAGCACTTTTCCTCTGTCTCCTTAATGTTCAAGGGCTGACTTGGTATGAACCAAATTTTCGAGTCTTGAAAAAATTATACATATAAATAAAAATGTCTCTAGTACAACTCAAATGAAGAATTGAGAAGAGTTTCACAGAAGCAGCAATCAGGTCTGACCTGATCTTTCTCAGCCTCATCAACAATATGATAGGATGTGTGGTTTTAAATGTCCAATGCTTTTCAGAACCTTCTACCTATAATAACAACAGCAACAACAATATCCAGTGAAACAGTAGTGTAATCATTACTATGACACGTGGTACATGCTTTTTAAATCATTGCTATAAATGTCTGTCACTTGGTTGATTTTCTAAAAGAATTTGAAAAGTTGAACTTCTGAAGAATTGGGTTTCTGCCAGGAAAACTGAATAATGGATAATGGAATGACACCAAAAGACTTACCATAACCACGCTTTTGTTAGTATTAACATGCTGTTCCCTTTTTCCCTGTATTTAATTTTATTTGCATTTCCTCCAGAGATCAAAAATAGCAGTGTATGAAAAGATGTGGACCTACATGCGATCAGCAGAGCCGTCTGTGTTCACTAGGACTACAGCTGAGGGCGTGGCTCGTGTCCGCAAGTCCAAGGGCAAATTTGCCTTCCTCCTGGAGTCCACCATGAATGAATACATTGAGCAGCGCAAGCCCTGTGACACGATGAAAGTGGGAGGAAACCTGGATTCCAAAGGCTATGGTGTAGCAACGCCCAAGGGTTCCTCATTAAGGTGGGTGGAATAGTATAACAATAGATCATGCATTGTTATAGTATTCCACCTTCCCTGATGTCCCTGAGAGAATTATTTTACTTTGTGTGTAAACATAGTATGTTTGTTGGTTTATTTTCAGTTTTTCCATTTCATACTTTTGATCAACAGTCAGGCAAAAAGCAATTTTTTTTATTTGACTCCAAAATGATCATAGTTGACATTCATCCTTGAAGGCCATATAAAAACCAACATGGTTGAACACTAGTTGCTTGCAGTGGGCCTAAATCATGGATATTGTATCTTTCTAGATCTCATCAACTTTTTCTGTTGTTTTGCCCACCAAAATTGATGCTGCCTGCTGCCATTGTGTCAGTAGTGAGTCTACGTTTTATTGTTATGCTTAAACATCATGCCAGCATCTCAGTCAGAAGAAATCCACTTCTTTTCAATAGAGTGATTTCCTTTTTCCATTTCAATATTTTATTTAATATGGCATCATTCTATTTCAGACTATGATGAGGTTGCACTGGTACTGTTTGAAATCATGTCCACTTACAAAGCGCAGAGTATGCTCTGGCTTTATGGTGCTTACTCAGGTCACACTCCCATATATTTGAAAGGGAGTGTGGTGTAAGTAAGATCTGTAAAGTTAGAACAAGTATAACTCAAAATTATTTGTAGATAGAGTCTGCCAAGGGGCTCAAAAGAAAAGCATTGCCTGTATAGGTTAAAAGGAAGACTTGCACTCTTACAGAAGTACTGATCAAATCTCCCCTTTGCATTCTCAACATAGAAATTTCATGTTTACACCCAGGAAGCAGAATTCCCTATTTTCCTTAAGTACTAAAGGCTGCTTTGAACCTACCAGAGCTAGAGTGCCCCCCCACCGCCCCACAAGTGATACCTGACAAATCACTCTGGTATCAGTGCTGCTTAGGAGAGAAGCACAAAGCTCAGATTCAAGAGGAAAATCTCTCAGGCTTTACTAAAGGGCTTAACCAAGAACCTGTCTTGAAAAGTGATGTCTCTTGTAAGCCACTGAAAACTGAAGGTAATGATAATTGTACTATTGCCCAGCCACAATGAAAGCAATGCCAATGTCCTGTGGTTGTTTTCATTGGCTTCAGAAAGGGGACTTAGATGTTCTTGGGTGTGCCAGGTTGGGGAAAAATTGAGATATCTATTTGAGAAACAAATATGGGTACTGAGAAGGGTGATAGTACTCAATATAGTGTGTGGGGGAGGGCATTCTGTGAATGGGAAACTTTTTTAAAGGAAGTAGGTACAGAAAGTAGTTAGAAAACACAAATTTGAGTACAGATTCTTGAAGCTCTGATCTCTGGTTTATTTGAACAAATATCCCATATAAAACTGGAAGGGAAAACACCACACTAATAAATTACTCATGAAAGAACCCTAACTAAAAGATTTCAGCCTCTTAAAAACTTAAACTACCACCAAGATGTTTAAGACTTTGTTGATATGTCTTGTACAATGTGTCATAAAAGGTATATAATTTCCATAAATCAGGTATCAGAAAAACTTCTGTTGAGGAACCGGTACAAAAACACTTTAATGTAAATAACTTATAAGAAATACAAAGCTGAAAGCAACTATGACTTGTGTGTAGATCCTTGATCAGGCTATTGATTACATTCACTGGCTGTCTCTCTTAATTAATTCCCGGTGGATATAGCTGCCGTGTCCTGTGTCTTGTGTCTTCTGATAAAGTCAAGCTTCAGGGACTGAATTTGGCCGTAAGATACAGTGCATCTGCCTCCCATTGATGGCTAGAGAGTTTCCTCTTAAATGGGCCACTTTGTCAAATCGACACTACAAGCATTGTTTGGGGCGACCTCAATGAAGGACTTCATCTGTCCAGAACTGTAATAGTGAGTGATTGGCTTCCCCCTCTTTTCCTGTCCTCACTAGATCTTGTTAATGAGGCAATTGTTAAACTCAACTTCCTGGATGGGGAGTTTGTTTATGCATTTGTTTTCTGTATGACACAGTTTCCTGAACAAGCTGGCCCCTACATGCAAAAACCACAGTCATTTTGTACATGTCTTTGAGAGCACTGGAAGGAAACTGAAGGCATTCACATTTTCCCTATCTCCACTCCCTCCCCCCCTCCATCCTCAGCCATGTAAGCAAGGTAGGCCCATTAAATTGAAATTCTCATTCTCCTTCCCCTAGGAGATTTGTCTTTCAAGAGGTGCAAACCAATACAGATTTTAACTATTAAGCATATTTTGCATATATGGATAAGTTCACATTAATTGCATTCATAAAGCAAAATCCAGAGGGCACACCATCATCAGATGTCCCTGAAAGCTGTCTTACTTATTCAGTAGAAACTTAAATCTGCTTTCCCACAGGAACTATTTTTTCAAATCTGGTTTTGCATTCATTGCTCTGCTTATGGTAAGACATGTGTATGTCATTGTCATTACCTGTGGCTTCCTCATAACCTCTCTTGTGATTCACTAAGTAACTGAGAAAAGATAAAACAGCATTTTTTTCCTTCTGTGTTGTGTAATCATAACCAGATAAGACTGGCAAACAGCTGATCATGTTCCTTTCACCTAGAGTTTTAAGCATCCATACTTTAATATTTGTTCAAAAATGTGATGGGTGGTGGTGGTGCATGCATTTAATTCTAGCACCCAGGAAGCAGAGGCAGTCAGATCTATGTGAGTTCAAGTCCAGCTTGGTCTACAAAGACAGTACTAGGACAGCCAGAATTGTTATACAGAGAAACCCTGTCTTAAAAAAAGAACTAAAAACAAACAAATAAAACCAAATAATTTTGCTATGGAATAAATGTCACAGAAAAGAAGAATCAAGTGACAAACAGAACAAGTTGTCGAGACTTTGTTTTTTACTGTGAGCTTTAAAAGAAACACAAGTAAGATCACTGTAGAGAGTGCATCTGTGACTAATCTGAAAAGTGTCTCTGTAGGGGCTGAGATGTAGCTGCTCAGCAGTAGAGTGCTTGAACAGCAAACACTGGGCTCAAAGTGAAAGACCAGGTAATGAAAACAATCAGAAAGTCACCTGATATAAGTGGCAGATAGTGATAAACAGATAAACTTTGATGTTAATACCATTAACATTATCACCTGCACATTCAAATTTACCATAGTTCAGCTACCTTTTACACCTATTGGCCATAATTATGTATACCACAATAAAGTTATATGAATTACTTTGAGAATACTACCAACTTTACTACATTTTCCATGCTATCTTAATTACTATGCTCACAACTTTACAATGTGATAAATAAATTCATAAGCTTTTTAGAGTGATTTTGGTTAATAGAGATGTTCAAACAATTATGTAGTTTTAAATGAGAATGTTCATTTTTAAATATTTATATTCTCCAGCATGTCCACACAACCACCAAGGAATAAAGCAATGAATCTCATCTGCTGACTTATTCTGATCCTTATAAGACTTTACATCTTGATACAAATATCTGAAGGCAAATTAAAATCCTGTAGTTTCCAAAGCTTTTATTAACAATAATAATTCCCACGTAAAATTTATCTTCTCTGAAGATGTTTGTAGAACTGTATCTAAAATAGAGAATTTCTTCAGACATCAAAGGAAACATGTGATATTTCAAAAGAGGATAATTCTGAGTGGGAATTCTGAAAACATTAAGGCCTGATTGGACTTGGAGATGCTCAGCTGTAGGAGCTCATAACAACAGCAGCTAGTCTTTGGAAACTAGGTCTGTCCTGGTTCCTGTGAAGCAGGCGATGCGAGCCTCACAGCAGCAGCATGGCATGGGGATAGGGTACTAAGAGAAGGAAGTAGAAACCAGCATTTCTTACTAGACTGTCTCTTTCAGTGTGTAGCAGAGCACTGGCCTAATGGGATGTTTGGACCAAATTCTTCTTGTATTTCCAGGGTAGATGTGTGAAAAATAATATTTTAATTTGTATGTGAAAGATGTATTATCTTATATATAAAATTTATAATATATAAAATTTGTAAGACATACTTAATCATAAGTTCAGATGCATTTAAAAAGTTTAGAGAAATGAGGTTGACTGCACACTATGTGTGAGAATCAAATTTTGTTTTTATATCAGAAACAGGTCAGCTTTTAGTACTTAATATAAATATAAAGAAGCTAAATACAGAAACATGAGACTTGTACTGTCTTGATTGGGGTTTCTATTGCTGTGACGAGACACCATGGCCACAGTAACTCTTTTTTCCATCTATTTATTTTACATCCCGGCCACAGTCACCCCCTACACTCTCCTCCCAGTTTCTCTCTCTCTCACACCCTCACACCCTCAATCTCCTCTTCCATCTCCATTCAGGAAAGGTCATGTCTCCTATAAGTATCAATAAAACATGGCATAACAAGATGCAGTAAGACTAAAGCGCCTCCTCATGTATTAAGGCTGGGCAAGGCAACCTTGTATGAGAAGTAGGTTTCCAAAAGCCAGTAAAAGAGTTGGAGACAGTGTTTCCTAAGAGAGCCAAGTTAAACAACTGCAACATATATGCAGAACACCTAAGTCGGTTTCATACAGGTTCCCTGGTTGTCAAGTCAGTCTCTGCTAACTCTCAGGAGCCCAGGTCAGTTGATTGTGTGAGTTGTGGTGTCCTTGACCTCTCTGGCTCCTTTACTTCTTTATGCTCTTTCTAGTGTTTGACTGTGGGTCTCTGCCTCTGCCTATGTCAGTTGCTGGATGACTCCTCTCAGATAACAATTGGGCCAGACACCTATCTGATCCCAAGAGACAGCCAGTTCAGGCTGCTTATCTTCTATTGCAAGGAGTTTAGGCTGGGGTCCTTTCCATACATTCCTAGGAGATTCCTTTGTGTCCAGATTCCCCTTACACCCAAATGCTTCCCATCCCCTTGAAAGCTCCTCAGTACAGTCTCCCTCTAAGACCCCCCAACAATCACTCATGTTCCCATCCCCACCTGCCCTCAGTCCATTCATGAAATATCTTCTATTTCCCCTCTTTCCCAGTGAGATCTGGGTGCTC